AATATATATTACAAGAAAATACAAGGAAACATAATGTTATATCTGTACAGTTAATCCACTGTTCATTACCTTATCAACAACAGATTTGTGTCTGCATTCTTAGACCTGACAACTCTCAATAGTGTGTGCAGTCAACTTGGACGAGTCCAGTAAAAGAGATAAGGATGGTGGGATGTGTATGGGTTATAACAGGTCCTTACTTAGAGTGCATCACTCTCCCTCCCCCCCTACCTACAGTGCAGCTGCAACCACTGCCCTGCTACTATGTGCCACATCTCACATACAACCCAAGAGCCCAGGTTTATCAACACGAACAGTCTCTGCAATAAATGAATATTAAGGCCAACACAGGAGGCAAAACTGCAGAGCACACATTTTGACAATATGTATATGTCATTTGGTTTTCTGGGATATGATGCCCTGTAGTCTGTTGAAAATCATCTGACGTTTCAGAGCCTCCATCTTAAGGATGAAGAGTGAGCCAGGCAAGAAACAAACAAAGTTTGCTTTGTGCTTTCCAGTGGTTTCTTGCCTGGCTTATTCTTTGGCCCCAGACAGACACATTATCCTCTGAAACATCAGCTGATTTTCAGTAGACTGCATAGCATTACATCTCAGAAGGTACAACTCTTCATTGCTGTGAAAACCTCAGAAACATTGTAAATATGAGGCTCATGGTCTGTTGAGATGCAACACCATGGAGTAATTTGCTGTTCTGTCTTCAGAGTAGAAGAGTAGACTGGCGACAGCGTTTTACTTCATGTAGCTGCAAGGGCTCATCAAAACAATAGCTGTGACTACACTGTTGCTTATGTATATTCTCAAAACATTACTTTAAAATTTACATGTTTTTCAAAGTTATGGTACCTCATGAATTTCAGGACCATGCATTAAGTGACATTAGTGTTACCCCCACTCCAGGAATTAGCATTATTGATGACAGGAAACAAGAAAGTACAATAGTTGAGTGACCTCTAGTGTCATGATGTTCATATCAATAAAAGAAACGGTGTACCATATGTTTATTTTTGCTTCATAAGGCAAGCAAGTTAGTACATAGAGATTAAAAAATCATTCAACCCAGCACTTCTGAGCTTACGGAAGTGGTCAGTCAACCTCAAAGCTGTATTCCTATGTGGGACAAGGAAACTGGGATATTTACACAATCCCTCCTTGAACATGTGCATGTGACAGAGATTCAAAATAACACTCACTTATGAACACACACTGCGCAGGTTGTACAGAAAACAATACTGGCAGATTGCCTGGCTCAAAATATCACCAAGGCCTGTGTGTCACCAGGTGTGACCACTAATTCCAGCTGTTGCATGCGTTATTGTATTCCATCACCTTGTTGAAGATTACTAATTGCTTAATTAACTAATTAATCACTCTGTAAATTACAAATGATTTTTAAAGTTTCTTGGGGTGGATTGAGACTGAGTCTACTTGGTATGTCGGCCACTAACTGGCAGGGGAAACTGAACTACTCGGAGAAAACCTGCCCCAGTGCCACTTTGCACACCACAAATCCCACATGACCTGACATGGGCTGCCAGTGACTAACCGCCTCAGCTATGGCAAGGTCCTATGCAAATGGTTTAGTACAAATTACTGTCTGCACCTTAAAGCATGGAAGACAAACTGCGACAGATGCACGGTGAGGATGGTTTAGAAGACGCTGGCTTGAAGTTTGACCACGACTCGATTGCAGATGTAACCCCCAACGAAGCGAATAAAATGATGCAGGAGACTAGTGCTACAAACCACATCACTGAACATGAAGAGGAGGCCTTGTTCACGTATGAGGTATGTCCACTGAATTTCTCATATTTTTGTTTGTAAGTTACTTAAATGACCCAACTGAGATTTAAACTGACCACCTGCTGAATACAACTCCCGTGTTAGCAGTAGACCAACCTGTTCGGTGCAGCTGCATTTAATATGCGTGAAACTTGTCACGTGTCACTCAGTGTGAGGTCTAGCAATTGGTATGCCTGACATAAAGAGTTCATGAGATATGAGGTTCTCATCATGGTGAATATAGGGCCGCACCATAGCTTAAGCAGTTAGTCGCTGACTTCCCACCGCGGCGGCCTGGGTTCGATCCCGGGTCTGGTCAAGTGGGATTTGTGGTCGACAAAGTGATGCTGGGGCAGGTTTTCTCAGAGTACTTCGGTTTCCCCTGCCAATCTTCATTCCACCAAATACTTCATTCATCATAATCACTCAGGGCAGGTACGATATGCCGATCACTGGCTGCCGTGCCGAGTGGACCCAGCTGGACTCCTCCCCCCACTAAGCAAATTAAAAATGGTGAATATAGAAGTTATGGTCTTCTGAAATGTGATGCTGTGCCAGTAGTTTGGTAGATAAGTAGGTATCATTGTTTTGGAGAAACCTACACCCTCCATCTTCTGGCTAGAAAAGCGACTTCCTTCTACTCTGAAGATGGAGGCATATTCTGGCACCTGCACAGAGGGAATGAAGGAGAAAGTCCCCAGTGTGGACACTAAGTCCTGAAGTAGGATGTCTCTGAAACGCAAGTAAGACAGGTTACCATTCTATCAGTGCGCCCAAAAAGTTTTCTCATAGGAATTACATGTAAGATTTGATCCTTATTCATACACTTTTGGCAAAAGTGTAATATAACTTACATTTGGGTATATTTAACTTAAATTTTCAAACAATGTGTAGAAGTGTTCATGTCTTTGTAAGATTTGAGGAGTTCACGGCGGTTACTATGAAGAAAGCAGTCTTCTGGGATTTGGCACCGTGTATATGTGGTGTTAACCGACGTTTCGGAGGAACGTATCGCCTCCATCTTCAGGGTCTGCAGTCTGCTTTTACCGGTTCTCACAGTCTCTTCGCTTGCAGATTTCTTATATTTTTTCTTCTACCCTGAAGATGGAGGCGATACGTTCCTCCGAAACGTCGGTTAACACCACATATACACGGTGCCAAATCCCAGAAGACTGCTTTCTTCATAGTAACCGCCGTGAACTCCTCAAATCTTACAAAGACATGAACACTTCTACACATTGTTTGAAAATTTAAGTTAAATATACCCAAATGTAAGTTATATTACACTTTTGCCAAAAGTGTATGAATAAGGATCAAATCTTACATGTAATTCCTATGAGAAAACTTTTTGGGCGCACTGATAGAATGGTAACCTGTCTTACTTGCGTTTCAGAGACATCCTACTTCAGGACTTAGTGTCCACACTGGGGACTTTCTCCTTCATTCCCTCTGTGCAGGTGCCAGAATATGCCTCCATCTTCAGAGTAGAAGGAAGTCGCTTTTCTAGCCAGAAGATGGAGGGTGTAGGTTTCTCCAAAACAATGATACCTACTTATCTACCAAACTACTGGCACAGCATCACATTTCAGAAGACCATAACTTCTATATTCANAACTCGGATAGCATAGTCAGTGTAGTAACTGGCAATGGGCTGGATGACCGAGGAGTCAGGGTTTGAAAATTTTCTCTTCTCCACGTTGTCTAGACCAGCTCTGGGGCCTACCCAGCCTCCTGTCCAGTGGGTCCCAGGGGCAAAGCGGCAGGGGCGTGAAGCTGACCATTCACCTCTAACTACTGCCAAGGACAAGAAAATGTGGATCTATACATCCACTCCCCCATATGCTTAATTAGTTAAGCATAGGGACAACTTTACCTTTGGTTTGAATCTTGGCTGGGACACTGGCAGTCCTGACCATGGGTTTTCATGATTTTCCTCAGTATTTCCAGGCAGATGCTCAGATAGTACATTGATTTTGCCATAGCCCATTCCTTCTAGATGCTTCCCAGTTCATCAATCATGCTACAATCAAATGCTATAGTCTCTATACTAAAAAAATTATTAAATAAGACTTCTTAAATGCAATAAGGGGCAGCGAGTTCAAGCTTCTTCTCCCCCTGCTGGGATGCAATAAAAAGTACAGCTTTCCGACATCATAGTGTTCTGAAAGAAAACATTCATGTCTGCAGGACAAGTGGTTTGCGTATCTGCATTTTAGCTAGTCAGCATTTCAAAAAGACTGTGACTAGTTCAGGCCAAGGCATCAGAAATAAGGAGGTTAGTGAATCTGAAGGAAAGTGAAAGTGACTGTGGCCTAATTTGAGGCCATGTCTACAATCTGACTGGAGGAACTGAGGAAACTCATGAAAGATCTGTCAGGATAGCTGAGATTCAAAACCAGAACCTCTAGACTATGAAACAAGGGCATTACCTGCTTGACTGTGACATTTGGTCAAATGTGTTACAAAATCTCATCCAATTTTTCCAACATTCTGCTCAAAATGAAATCACTCAGCTAGTATAGTGGATGGTATGATAAAATAAGCTCAGGGTCATTATCCCAGAAGTACCATTGATGGTTTAATTTATTTAAATAAATTAAAAATATTATTTACTAGTGTTTGGTTTAAGTCAATTATAGTTTCTTACATATGCCATGTCCTTTCCTTCATAAAAAAAAAAACTCTGTGGCCTGCAGTCCACAAGCGAACTATACCAACAGAGGAACCACTTTGTTGGCGAAGTCAGAGCCAACTTTTGTGGACAGAGGGTGTTACGTGGTCAGCACAATGAATCCCCATGCCTGTTAATCACGGTTTTCTAGACCAGAGCCACTATTTCCGTGAAATAGCTCCTCAATTATCCTCACGAGGCTGAGTGAACCCTGTTCCAGACCCATTACTATTCAGAAAATCTTGTAGCGCCGGAAATCGAACCTGGGACCTCTGGATCTGTAGACAGAACCTCTGACCACTAGACCACAGAGGCGGTCCCCTTTCCTTCATATGTTATGATTTAACATGTATATATCATCTATGGGTATGTAACTTCTGCAGTGGATACAGCAGTGTGAAATTTCTTGAATATAGGAAATCCTCAGACAGACATGCATCGGTTATGTGCAGGTTTGTGGCGTTCAGCAGACTGCCAGCCAATCGTACGGGTCGCTTAATAGCTGATAAGGGCGTTGTGTTTGCAGAGAGTCTTATCCCAGCCGTCTTCTTCAGAGAAATGAAGCTCAAGTTGCCTGCAGGAGTACCAACCCAACCTCTTCAATCACTACAGCAAGTGTCTGCATACCTTCACAAAATTCATCGTCTAGCATTCTGCACAGGAACTGGTTTACATGACCCAATTAGAAGCATGAAGTGTCGTATTTATGTCGATATGCCAAGTTCTGTTAGACGCTGCACTGCATGCAGTACCCAGCGACAAGCTGTTTTATTTGCTGCTCAACAGAAGGCGACGTGAGGCTTATCAAATGGAACTGAAAGAAATAGCAGACCAGATTATAAAGTGATCTCTTGTTGAATCTTTATTTGTACATATAATATGACTGCTTGTCCTTGTATCATTCAGTATTGTACGTGATTGTCAGAGGGCTTCCTGCATGCTGTTGAGCCACCTGCATCCAACTCTTCTGCCTCAGTGGCTGAATGATCTGCAGGAAGTTCTCAGCATAATGAGTAGCATAAGCCAGAAAACTGTACTGCTGTGTTTCAGCATAACTACTTAAAACCTTGTTCATTAAGTGTGGGATGTACATTATTCAGGTTTACTTTGTATAGTACGCCTGTACACTTAAACTTGGTTGGTTTTCTGTGATGTCTATACGTTAGCAATTCTCAACTGTTCATTAACCTTTAAGAGTCGGCATTTAAACCCCCCACGACTGCGCTGCTGCCGGAGTTAATTTGACGTTGCCCTTTTAATATTGTAGACTTTCAGAAAAAACTACATATTTTCCGTTCTATGCAGCTTAGAATTACGAACTAAAAACCGCCTGAAAGAGAATGAAATTTCCTACAATATACCTAAGGCAATTTTTACAAATAAAAATTAACTGTGATTGTTATGTCATGAAATTCAAAATATACTCTCTTTTATATGTGTAATGAAATTCCAAAAGACTTACCCATAATTTTTTCTTCAAATTTGAGACGTCGTTATATCCAAAATACATTGACACTATACACCAAAATGTTTGGTCAGACTGTACACGAGTTTCAACTCGTTGCGTCGTGTAAGTTTACGCTACTATAGATACTGCGTGCGGGAGCGCGGAGAGGCAGAGTTTGCTTCAGCGCGATGTGAAGGTCACACAGACCTCACTTCTCATACGCTGGTAGACAATCTGGTTCAGTCTCTCGCTTAGCGAACAAACAGGAAGTTATTGTTTCTATCTGGCTGGCCGGACAGTGTTGTCAATGTTCAGTTCCAGATGACTCAATGAAAAATCTTGGCTTCCCCAGAGAAACAGTCCGCCACTGACTCACAAGCTGATAATTCAGACACTCACTAAACACGTCACACTTCCTTGAGAGCTACAGAAGCAGTGATCTGCCCGCACAGAGGAATGTTGGGTCAGCTGTTCTGTGAAGAAGCTTCCACTCTGTTTGGCTGACCAAGTCACAAACAGTCTTACCTACATGTAAACGAAATCGAACCCAGTGCCATGATGAAGGGTTTTATTGTTCAGAGCCAACAATTGGACCTCTGACTTGAACTTGCGTGTGTTTGTTTTGGTTTCAAACTCAACGTCTAACCGGCAGCACTTCTAAAGTGAGCACGTGTCTTGCGTCCAGTATACTGGACTTTCGGCATCTTCGAGGTCACAGGTACCGTCCGGTATACCGGACTTTCGGTCGTTAAAGGTTAAAGGTCCTATTTTTTTATGTTTGTTTCTGTGACCATCTTCCTGGTTTTACAATTATATTACCTATTATGAATATCTTGCCAGAAGATTTTGTTCCACTTTGCTCCCTCGAACAGTCACCAGGAAACATGGCGTGCCTCCATATACCACGTAACTGCAACAAAAACAAGTCACTATGTATCTCTTAATTTTAAACAAAAAACTGTATAGAGTGAAACCTCTTTGGGGGCCAGTGGATTTTAACATTAAATTGGAGGAAATTTAATATTGATATTGACTTGGGATCACTGAAACTGATCGTTAAACAAGGAAGAAAATCTTAAGATGGTGATGAGGGTTCTATTGTAAGATCTTAAAACTTTCACTGTGAAATCATGTGATGTATTTTCCCTGGGCTATAATTGAATGTCTTTATAACATAAAATTTCATACTCAGGGTCAAGATAAATGGAACTGAAGGTTAAGTTCAGAATATTTTACCTGTCCATCACCTTACTTTAAACACAAAAGCTTAAATTACAGTGGAACCAACATCTAATATTCTTCAGTTTAAGGTTTCCTTCATTTAGTTTTCGATTTCAGTGATCCCACGTCAGTAACCTCTGCCTTACATGTCCACAATCTATGATTTCCCTGATTACTCTTCAAATATACTGCTCCTAAAAGAAACCTTAAATAGGATTTCACTGAAAAAAAAAATAAATAAATAAACTGAAGTATCCTGCTGCTTTACATAAATGTGAAACTTGTTCAAGCACTACCACATTTATATTGTGATCTTCAAGATTATGACACCCTATGTTCTGGTTGGTGGGTACCAATGTTTTGGAGAAACACCCTGCCTCCATCTCCCTCCGGCACCTTCGTACTCACAACATAAGACTACATGGTGCCATAACCCAAAGACCAGGATACAAACTTTCACTGCTGTGATAACCTCAAATCTCTTACATATATGTATCTTCATAAGCACAGACTGAACATTTTTCATAAATCTTGGAAGTAAAGCTATCCCTGTAATAGGCTGTGGAGGCCCATAGGGTTGTGAGACGTCGAGGCTCCCACATTTTCTAGACAATTGGCTCATAGATGGCGGTGAGGCTCTCAGCCTTATGCGCCAGCTGCCCTTTACCCCCAGGAAGATTCCTGGTACTCATTTCTGTTAGAGGCTGAGTTGACTCCAGGGCCATAGTGCGGCTGGAAGGATTAGTGCAATTGAAAAATCCAGTGACCACATTGGGAATTGAACCCGCAACCTTCTGGCTTGTAGCATGGTGCCTCAACCAACAATGCTTCTGCATGCCACTCATAAATCTGGTAGCCACACAAATACTGTGGTCACCAAAGAAAGGTTGCTCAACATTTTCCGACACGCTGCTGTAGCTTTTGCCTCTGCTCAGCGTGCAAGCGTCATGTATTCCTGTCATCGCACTGCCTCTCCTAAACTCTCCCAGGGCAACTTTGCTTCTCCCTGTACAACCATATATTTTGAACTGTATAAGGCTAACTTACGTTTCTCTAGCTAGGACTTCGCCTAGTGTGCCACTAGCGGTAACTTGATGCAGCGTATGACGACCTCTGCATTCGTAGTATATGTTCAGCTCAGAAGGAATATACGAGGAATCTTTATCCCAGTCAGGGGTTGACTCAAACATGGCAGTGAGATGTTGTGAGAACCTAGCAACAGAATCAAACACAGCATTGAGATACTGTGAGAACCAGGATAAAAAATCAGACCTTCACACTCGACAGCCAAGAATGACATACACTGTGCTCACAAAAATGAGCTTTAGTGAGTTAAAATGTGTGAAACTTTGGAGAAAATCTGAAGTTTTAAAACACTGCATCTCTTACATTTACACAAGAAGGTAACATTTCATATTTCCCTTGTTTTCTGGGCCCAAGAGACTTCAAAATTTGATTAGTCAGAGATGTTGATGCTATTTTTGCCATTAAACTGAATAGAATTCTGAAAGTCACAGGTAGAAGCCCTAGTGAGGCAGCCTCTCCACCGAACTGCTCGGAAATGGGTTCAAAACCTGGTAAAAGGGAATACTGTTGAATGGTTCCAATAAGACAGATGCAAATAATGAACAACACTGACAAGTTCTATCTTCGAACCTCAGACTGGACTTCAGTGCAGACAGTTTCGTAGAGAAAGCAGATGAAAACTGAAGTTCCATTGCGAAGCATTTCCAATTAAAATACTGTATTGTAATGTTGTAAATATACCATTAAACAGTGGTGTTCAAATTTACTAGCCCAGGCAGCTACAGTATTTCAGCATTTATGGGTATGCAAAGTAAACTTACTGTAAAAGCTGTGCAAAAGGCTAAGGAAAACTGCAAAACTCACGTGTCATCCTCACAGAATTCTTGAACCAAGTCAGAGACTTCGTACTCTGGATATAGGAACATGACAGGCCACACCAGACTGCCTTTTCCATCCAGGTGTACATGCCCCTGTGCCACCACCGGACTGCTGGGTTCTAATGCCGCCATGGATAGTTCTGTCAACAACAGTTGATATGAAAACTGTACAATGGAGCATGACAGTTTCAGCCACTGTCCAATGATATACTGTGAAAACTCAAAGTTCGTTAACTAACAAGCTAGACAACAAAGTGGATAATTTTCAGTCCAGTGTGACACAGAAGTTTACAACACTTCAGTCTTTATTCACCTTACATGTTTCGATTCAAAAGAATCATCCTCAGAGGCGCGCCACTATGATCAGGAAACACTGTCACATAAGATGTTTTAACCATATGCACTTAAGCTATGAATAATGCTCACTATATAAATTTTTGTTATTATCACGGTTGGTTTTGGTGTTTGACTTAATCATTCACGATGAATTCTTGAAGTGTAGATTTACGTATGATGCTTTTTCTTTTTAAGCGTATTTGCTGGGTATTCTGATTGGGATTTCCCACTGCACTCGATATGATGTTCACTTTTCCATACAGTAGCTTCCCTATGTATTTAAAATTGTATTAAAATTTCTTTTGTGTATAAAAAATTAGTTATTATGTTAAAATATCGTGAGCCAACGTTGGGTCATGTTGGCTTCCTCCTGATGGTGAAAGATGTCGTTTATTTCTCTTGATTATATGTTCTGTAAATATATTATTATATTAATTTTTTATTTTATTCTATCTTATATAGTTATATATAATGCTTTTAGGTTTATTAGAGTGTCTGGTTAGGCCTTACCTTATTGTTAGTCGTGTAGTTTATGTGTGTGCTGTGTCATTTGTACTGTTTTGAAGAGTGCTGTGTCACATATTATATTCTTCCTGTGTTTATGACGTTGAAGAGGGTGTGTTCAAGTGATGTATAATAAGGTCAAACATGTTGTTTTGATTGTTTATTTCCCTTATTTGTTTCTGTGAGAGAATTAACAACTGTCTTGATGCTCAAACACCATCTGATATATGTGGGCAGTGTTCCTTTCACACATCTACTCCACTTCTCAAATTCTGTTGATGTTATATAGAACCCAAAACCATTAAACAGGTAGACACACAATATATGTAGCAGCACAGATTTGGGATGTAAGTTTTCATGATGTCAGCATCTCGTGAGCACCCATTGCGTCAGCTAAGCAGAATGGCTGATACTCTGGTACAGGTTTTTTTTTTTTGTGCTGGAATTAGCGAAAACAAACTCTCTTACTGTTGTACAGCAGCATTTTAGAACATGATATGGTAAACCTCCACCTACAAGGCAGTCTATGTATGACTGGAGCAAGAAATTTCAGAACACTGGTTGTTTATGCAAAGGGAGAAGTTCTAGGAGACCACCTGTATCAGCGAAACAAGTGGCTCGTGTTTGTGAGATACATGCCCAGCCCTAAGAAGTCAACAACACATGCAAGTTTAGAATTACAGATTCCACAGCAGAGTGTGCAGAAAATTTTGCAGAAACATTTCAAAATGTTTCCGTTTAAGCTACAGTTAGTGCACAGTAATGATGACAAAATTGTACATAATTCTTTCTGCATGGACATGCAGCAGTGGAGTGAAGATGATGAAGCTTTCTTCAACTGGCTAACTTTCAGTGATGAGTCGACCTTCCACAGTAGTGGAAAAGTCAATGCATACAACATGCATACATGGGGAACCGAAAACCTGAGAGAAATGGTCCAGTATGTGCAGGATTCACCAAAAGTTAATGTGTTTTGTATTGTATGTCATACAAAGGTGTATGGGCCATTCTTTTTTCGAGAACACAGTGACCGGAAGAATTTACCTCGACATGTTTAGTGAGTGGCTGCTGCCTCTACTACAAGAAGACAGTGCTGACTTCATTTTCATCCAAGATGGGCCTTTCTGGCACATGGGGATTCAAAATTACCTGGATCAAAATCTGCCTCTGTGTTGCATTAGCTGCTCAACAGACCAGAACATGGCACTGACACGTTGGCCACCAAGATGTCCGGATCCAACGCCGTGTGGGGATATATCAAAGACAGAGTTTTTGTTCCTCCACTTCCTGTGAGTGTAAGCGATCTAAAGAAACGCATCACAACAGCTGTTGCGAGTGCTGATGAGGACATGCTCTGGTGTGTTTGGAACGAATTGGATTATTGTATTAATATCTGTCATGTGACAAAAGGCTCACACATAGAACATCTGTAACTTAGTCATACATACTTACAGATATATGCTTAAAAACCATGTCAGTCTTTTGGCTATATCAATAATAATTTGGTTTGTATGAAAAGTTTTTATAGTAACCCAGTGTAACATTTCCTCTGTGAAATAATATACACATCTGTGGTTACAGCCTGAAAAAGACCAGAAGGTCAAGAGGTCTTCCTTCTATTTAACCCACACAAATTCCTTACCTGTCCCTTCTATATGAATCCCTCTCTCCTTTATGGCTCTCAGCAATGCCTGTTCCTTCTCTTTTTCCTTTCTTTCTGATACATTTTGCTTCCGGATGTTTCTCTCTTCCATTTTCTGATTCAAAGCATAAGAACAGATATACTATATATTAATTTTAAATTCTGCAAACAATTCATGAAGATGAAACGACTGCTATGGTTAATATCACAGGAAGATATGGCACGCCATAATACAGTAAATACCTAAAAGATACAGAATTGCCACAGTTATCAGTATCTATTCTCAGGGCTTGCTGGGTTTAATAAAAGTGACTACAGTGACTAGGCTAAGGGCTGAACACATCAGGGGTTTTGGGATTCAATTTCTTCTCTTTTTTCACTGCATCCAGAGTAGGTCTGTAGTCCACCTGTTCTCCTGTCCAATGGGAGAACCAGGGCTCCTTCATCAGGAATAAAGCAGCTGCAATGTGAAACTCATATTCACCTTCACCTAAAACTGAGGTTAAGAATGCAGGTAATTAAGCACAGGGTCAACTTTTACAATTACCTACTTTACAGGGTCATTACAATCTGTGATGTGTAGTAATTCATACAGGGTGACAGATACTGAGGGCCATCTTCCCTGTATGATATTATTCTGTGCTAACAATGACTACGGAACAAGCCTGAATATAACGTGGCGTAGAGTACGAACACAAGATTAAAACAAAACATTCTGGATTCATCAGTACTGCAACTAGAATACAGGCCGGATGACTGACCAATCTGGGTTCAATTCCCTGGAGGGGCACAGATTTTTCTCTTCTCCACTGCATCTGCCTCTGAGGTCTACCTAGCCTCCTGTCCAGTGACTACCAGGGGCTCTTTCCCCAGGCATAAAGTGACAAGTGTATGAAGCTGACCACACACCTCCCTCTACAGTTGAGTTTAAGACATTACACCATGCTAACAAGGACTAAGTAACTAATGATGCAATGTGTAAGTAAGTTTAAAGAGACCTTGCAGCACTAAACTCACCTTTCCTGCAACAGCTCTGGCTCGAAGTTCCAGACTAACTTTGTCAGTAGGGGAACCAAGAAGCATTTTGTCACACAGAGCGATGCATTCATCGTATCTCTGCAGAAACATGCAACACTGAGCAGCGCGGACCTGTGCCTTGGGGTAACATGACCGAATTTTCAGCGCTGCTCGACAATCGAACAGACATGACCTGAAAGAACAAAGTCTTGTACATACCCTCTGATGCACCTTCAACAGAACTTGACCATGCTTTCTGGAATTCAACAAATGTGAAAAATCCTGCAGATGACATGGAATGTCATTGATAGAAGGTTTGCGAGTGGAAATTTATCTTCTGCCAAGACCAATGCATCTAATGAGATTCCAAACTTTTACTGCCTTCGATGATTCCAATGAAAGATAAGCAATTAAACTGTGTTACTCTGTTGTATAAACATTTCTCTTACATGTAATTTACTACGAATAGGCCAAAAGAAAACCCTATATGGTGGGATCATGTGATACATATTTCTGATACCATTTGTATTCAGAATTGTCTGAAAGATGATATACCATACAGTGAATCACTTAATTAGTAAGTTAGGATTATGTATGGTTTTCTGGCATATGAATCTGTGCTCTTTAGTAGATGTGTACTAGTGTTTGAGACATATACTGTCTCAAACTTTAAAAGCAGCAGAGAGAAGGGGGGTGGGGTGATATGTAGTATGGGTGAGGGAGGCTGGGACCAGGGGTATGTACAAGGCATTAGGAACCAATGCCCTGCAAAGGATTATTTTCTTAAGTGGGGGGAAAAAAAACATTTACACAGAAGAAAGGAAGGGAATGAGGCAAAATACAGAAGTTTATCTGCTTCTCTGTCACCTGTAGTTTTTCAAGAAGAAATGTGCAGCTGCTCGGTTGTTATACAATTCTGATTCAAGCACGGAATCTCCGCATCGCTGCTTCAATCCTTCTGTATAGCTCATTATTGCAAGGCGATATTTTTTTATCTTGAAATTATAGTTACCATCTTCTTTATATGTAGCTGCCAATTCTGAAATGAATTTTAAGTTTCTAACTTACTATAATGGATGAGGTTTTTATGACAGTAAGCATTAAGATTATATACTTTTAGGATGTGATGCCATGTAGATATCCAATTATGTACACTTCCAACTCTTCCACCTGAACAGCTGAATGGTTTGTGGAAAGTTCTCTGACAACCACGCACTTGATGCTATGGCAATCCTTGTATTGAACTTCCATCTTATACTCTAGCAACCAACTGGTGGCAATTTTTATTTCAATCAGAGTATTATAAGTACCACCTGCTATAAATTCAAAACCTCCACCCATAAAATGTATTTATGTTCTTCATATGACTCTCTGTATAAACAACAACTATTTCTCAAAACATGCTCATTTAGTTTTGTGATGGAAATGCAGTGAGGTAGCAAAGGAATATACATTATTTACATGAACTTCAGGCTTCAAAACTGATCAAAATGGCACTGTTACTAAAAGAAACTAAAGACTGTGTCTGCAAACACATAATGCTGCAGCATATTAGAAACAGTACCTTGTGGTGTGTTATCAGTTTCACTGTACTTGAGCTGCTGCAGGCCCTCCATGAGTGGCGACAGTGGCTCTCCTGCTTCTGGTGTTTTGGTCATGAAGAATGGATGCTTTTCCATTTCCTGTATTGTATACACAATCTAATATATATAAACATATAAGCGTTATTTTTCCTTAATTTCCTCTTTCCTACCACAAACCCAATAGAGCATACTCAAAAATGTTATGAAATCTACTCTGTACTCCTGTCAATATGTATGGTAGTTACACCTATTAAAGGTATGCACGGGTACTGCAATAGGTTTCTGGGTGTGGTTCAAATCGGCGTTCCAAATATTTATTTTTTAATTATAAAAGTACTCTTTCCTTTCTTCTGTAAACTAAGGGCCTAACATCGGTGGCTCTGAAGAACACTACTGTCTGAGGTGTGAAGCCATGTGGTCTGGTATAAGTTTACAGCCGTTGTGTGTTAGTGAACTTACCATAATACATGGGGTCAGATTCTTGAAAATACCACGAACTATAACCTATGGTTTAGAAATATTACATAAATAACTGAAGAAAAGGATACTGTGTTATTTCCCAACTTTGGTTTGTGAAATCTAACCTCTTGCCATCGGTCCTCTGGCCATTCATCAGTGGACGATCGTTTTTCTAACCCTCCAATAAATTCATCCAACTCCTGGTCTAATTTCTCTGCTAACCTTCTCCGTTTTTCGTCTGACATACACATCTCCCCTTTACTGATGGCGTTAGTAGCTTTTGAATCCATTCCTATATTCACAACATTTACGCCATAACACAGTTGTCTACATAATTCCACATGAACGGCTCACTATCCATGATCACAACCACGGATCGACACGCATCTTTTCACGGATTTCGTACAACGTTTGTCACCATAGACAACATGCACTGTCAAAGCGGTCAAAGCCCACAGACCTGTTCATGTAATGTAATTCTCACATATTTAACCTTATCAATTTCATGAGTTTAAGTGTGCATATATATTTTATGCATGCACAGATTATTTATTGACAATAAATATGAACAGATCAATCAGGCCATTCCTTCAATCACAACATTTAAAGGTGTTACTATACCGCGAGGAAGCTCCATAGCTCAACCAGTTAGTCGCTGGCTTCCCACCGCGACGGTCCGGGTTCGATCCTGTGTCTCATCAAGTGGGATTTGTGGTGCACAAAGTTTCACTGGGGCAGGTTTTCTCCGAGTACTTCGGTTTCCTCTGCCAATCTTCATTCCACCAATTTCTCCACAATAGGCCAGAAGTGATCACAGTACAAAGGACTTAGTCCCACCTCACTAGCAATAAAAAAAATATTATACTGCGAAAGCTATTCCTGATATTGGCCACCGTATGGTCGCAAATGAACAAGATTCAAAATCCTCTAACTTTGACACCCCTAGACTATTACCCAACAGCTGATCACTATTTGTGTAGTTATCCGTGGTTGATCGGTCCCAAGTCCCAAGTAGCCGCAAGTAGCATAGTAGGCGATAGTAGGCAAAGTGCAGAAGGGCAGAGTAGGTTTATGTAAGAGTTGGGACTTAGGTGACATTGAATACCAGCATAAAGATGGTATATTGTTTGAGACTTTAACCATAATTTTAATTAAGCTTCGTTTCTTAATAATGTCAGTGTAAGACAATGTATGTGTTGTAATGTAATTACATATTAGCGTGTAACAGCATTTTCCACATCATTTGGAATGACCTCTGCTGTGACCTTATGTACTTGCAGGATTTAAAACATGAAACAATACACCAGTATGAATTTACTGAATTATTTATTTAATTACAGAGTTCTCCAATCCGTGTTGTAGTGACTGGTGCAGCAGGCCAAATCGCCTATTCCTTGCTGTATCAAATAGCTAAAGGTGATGTCTTTGGAGCAGATCAGCCAATTATTCTTCATTTATTGGATATACCACCAATGATGGAAGTACTGGGTGGCGTAGTGATGGAAATAATCGACTTAGCATTGCCACTGGTTACAGAAATTGTCCCTACAGCTGATCCTGCAGTAGCTTTTAAAGAAGTTGAAGCTGCTTTTCTTGTGGGTGCAATGCCTCGCAAACAGGGGATGGAAAGAAAGGATCTTTTGTCTGCAAATGTTAAAATTTTTAAAGTTCAGGTATATAATATGTAGGTTTGTTTCTACCCATAGCCTTGTCACTATACTAAGCTACCTTACATTTTCTTTAAATGTAATATATCGTATTTGTATTGCAGGGAGAAGCACTTGACAAATATGCCAAAAAGACAGTAAAGGTGTTAGTGGTTGGTAACCCTGCAAACACCAATGCACTGGTTTGCTCAAAGTATGCACCATCAATCCCTCGTGAGAACTTCACGGCCATGACACGTCTTGATCAGAACCGTGGGCGTGCTCAGATAGCAGAACGTCTAAAAGTCAATGTAGGACAAGTTGCAAATGTGATAATCTGGGGCAACCACTCAGCTACTCAAGTGCCAGATGCTAACAGTGCAACTGTTGATTTGGGGTCTGGGCCTCTGCCGGTGTCAGAAGCCCTCAAGAATGACGAATGGCTAAAAGGAGAATTTATTACAGTTAGTAGATATTAGTTTGTATGCAGCATAACAGCATTGATGTTCAGAATCTTGGTAATCCCAAGTATATTATACTGTCATGAGAACCCATTAGGATTTACTCATGATTTTCCTCAGTCTCAGAGCCTCAAACTAGTCATCTCTTCCTATTTTATCATTCACAAGACTTCATATACTTTAAAAATAAAGTATGTCTGTAACAGGGAAAGGGTTAAATAGTATTTATTTATGCTTTGTTTAACAACACTGTCAGTGTCTTTTACTGTATATTGTTTACCGAATTGAAAATGCGAAGGGAAATGGGCATGGCATAGTTAGAGATACTGTTTCGACATTTGCATAGCAGAACTGAGGATAGCAACAAAAATATTGGTTAAGATGGTGATTATCCTGGCAGAGATGTGAACCATGCACCACCAAAGTAGAAATTAGGAGAGTTACTACTTGATTGGAAAAGTGTTAAAAATATTTTAACAATATTTCAAGCATCTAGACCTGCAAAGCAGAAAAATGAGGGTTGATTTTATCACTGAGGTGACAATGAAGATTATTGTCTTATGGAATGTGACACCGTGTAGTCTGGTAGGTATTGACCAGTGACTCTTCTACCATGAAGACAAAGTGAGGCTAAGGAAAGAGTTAAAACATTACAGTAATTTAATATGAAAATTCAGATACTGATTGTAAGGTATGTGGTTTGGGACTGGTACCTTACAGACCGTCCAGAAGCGAGGTGCTGCTGTGATTGCAGCACGAAAGATGTCGTCAGCAGTGTCTGCTGCAAAGGCTGCAGGAGACCACATGCATGACATTTGGCACGGAACTCTTCCCGGGCAGTTCGTGTCCATGGGGGTCATTTCAGACGGATCATACGGTGCACCTCAAGACGTCATATTCTCTTTCCCAGTTACCATTGAAAATAAGGAATGGAAGATAGTTCAGGTAAGTCACATTTGCCGTATACAGTCCTTCCCCCCACTCCAGATACATGTTTGCTGGTGCTTTTATACTTGGGTCTTTTTGAAACGTGTCACAACCCCCTGGGTCTCTGAGGCCTGTTATAGGGATAGCTTTACATTTTACCTTTAGTGGTAGTATGTGTGGATCACTTGCTGAAAATATGCCTTAGCTTATACACACCATTGTCTGTCATATCTGTTGATCCCAGCTACTTTCTAGGAAGAAACTGCATTACACTAATTGTAACTCGTTAACTAATCCATCTAAATGGTTTAAAATTTAAGGCCTGGAGTGTAGAGCTGTACCCTGGGAACATTAGTGCTACTTAGTTCTGCAATGGAATTTTGCAGCCAAGAACCCCAAAAGAATGTGTGTTGGGATAGCTCAGTCAGTCTAGGGACTGGGGTCTCATTCCTGGCAGGGAAAATATATTTTTTTCTTCACAACATCCAGACCAACTCTGGGGCCCACCAAGCCTCCTATCCAGTGGGTATTGGGGGCTCTTTCCTCAGCGGTAAAGCGGCCAGGGCATGAAGCTGACTCACCTCCATGTAGTGCCAAGGTTAGGAATAGCAGAGTTATATCTCCACTCTCCTTCACGACATACTTAATTGATTCATTAAGCACAGGGACAATTTTACTTTTACCCACAGAATAAAGCAGTGATAAACTGCAAAACCACTGCATTTCAAGTTCTGGTACTGTGGATGTTCAGCGCCATACAAAGGAGGAAAAAGACGAGAGCTTCTAAAATTTTAAGTTTTAAAAGTAAGAGGCCCTGTGAAAAATATTTTTAACCTATCAGTGTCTAGAAAGACATTACAATAAAAGTTTATAATACCCTGGATTTACTAACACTTTCATATTGAAGTGAATGCTGGGCAAATTATTTATGAACATGAAAATACACATGAAGAGACTGTAAAATAAGTGGAAACATATTAACAGAATTAGTGAAGATTGATGATAAATTTGAAGACGTTTTATGTAGAAATGTATGAAATGCCATTTCCTTAATCATTAAAGCAAAAGTTCCCACTGTGTCAGTTATATAGTTTTACACTCTACTGAAATAATGAGGGGGCACGCGGTAGCATATTTGGTTAAGGCACTATGCTACAAATTGGAAGGTGGCGGGTCGAATTCAGATGAGGTGGATTTCTTCAATTTACCTAATCCTTCCAGGAGCACTATGGCCCTGGGGTCGACTCAGCCTCTAACAGAAATGAGTACCGGAATATTCTTGGGGGTAAAGGGCGGCTGGTGCGTAAGGCTAACAACTTTATCACCATCTATGAGCTCATTTTCTAGAAAATGTGGGAACCTCAACATCTCACAACCCTGTGGGCCTCCATGGCCTGAGCATACCTTTACTTTTTTTTTTTTACTGAAATAATGAAATTGCTTGCTTATTATGCTGGTTTAGTATACGGCTTGTTTTGTGTTCAGGGCTTGCAGATAGCAGACTATCACAAACCTCTACTTGAAGCCACAGGTAAAGAACTTCTAGAAGAGAAAGCCGAGGCTCTAGAAGTGTGTGAACACTGACGGGCAGCGCCCCCAACCATGGTAACATCACGACGACGCTGCAACATGTAGTACGTTGTGTCTAGCCACAGTATGCTCATATGACGGGATATTATACAGCAAGCATTTCAACTGACATCATGGTTGGAGGGCATAAGCACATGTTGAGGAAAAGAACATATCATTTTATGTATGTACTACCTCACAGAGATAAGATATTTAATTCCAAATATGTTGTTAAATTGTAATCAATCATATATTGTTATTTTCATGGTTTTGGTATTTATTTTAAAACAAGTCACGGATTAAATTGTTACTCATTGGTATAATGTAATTTGAGATGTCTGTACAAGAATGGAATGGTTTGAAAGCAGTTTAGATAATTTGAAAGTAGGATATGATTCTCTCTCTCTGTCTACATCCAAGTTTCTGCTGTGCATATTAATAGGAGGCCTGCAACTGAATTTTCGTTTCGTATTTACTGTATGCGGAGCCAGGATAACTGTTGGAATAGTGACAAAGGTTATGTGGACTCGATGACTGGAACTAGGATTTGATTCCTGGCAACAGTAGGAGACTTTGTCTTCACAGCATCCAGATTGGCTCTGGAGCCGACCCAGCCTCTTATATATTGAGTATTGGGTGACCCCTCATATGTCCTGATGGCATGGCACTTTTTAAGCACAGGGACGACTTTACCTAATTACTGTACAGACATTTCGATGATATTTGGTGGGAGAACAAATTACTGGTCCTTTATTCTTCCTGAGTACTGCAACAGGTGGTTATTACTCCAAACTGTGCTGTCATGTGAAAGGGATTGGGTTGAACTGGTGACAGAAAAGGCTCTTTGTTATTTGCTACTGTTATATACCAATATATATGTATATAGTATTAAATGTGTGTTGCTGCATTTCTAGCTTTTACAGCTTTATCATTCACATTCGAACTAATTTTTGTTTGTGAATGGTTAAGAAGCCATTAGTATATGCTGTATAGCATTAATCAGGGATAACTCAAACATTCAAGATATTTATTTGTGCTGCTACGCTCGGGATATTGACTTAATTTTGCTCACTTATTAGATGATACTTTAAAAATGTATTATATTTGGGAATAAAGGATATTTTAAGTGATTGACAGTACTATTGATATTCCTGCACACTCCTCTACCATACAGACTGGCACAAGTAATGTGTCTGATTCCAATTTAGAAACTAACCAGTGCCTGATTGGCTATCATCTGTTTTTTTTTCTTCATAATTTCCTTTAGCCCCTCCAGTAAATATGATACCTCAAAACAGGCCATGTTATATAGGGTGTCCAGATGAAAGGTATCCAAAATAAATTTATATCTTGGAAAGTAATTGTCATACACGTATCCAGTTTATGTCATCGGAAAGGAAAACCTCAAGTTTTTTCCCATGCCTGCCTTGTGCGCATGTGCCACCATGTTAAGAATCACTTGGACAGTGATGGCTGGGAGATAGATCAGCAGAAGTGGATCAATTGCTTGGCCTCCTAGGTCGCCAGATTTAACCCCACTGAATTTTTTCTTGTGGGGTTATGTGAAGAACATTGTCTACCAGGTTAAGATCAACGACCTGCAAAACCTGAATGCCCGCATAAGGGACACTGTGGCTATGGTAACACCAAACACGCTGGATCACCTGGATATTTGTCATGCCACCAAGAGAGCCCCACATTGAAATTAATTGAGAACATTATGTACTCAGAAAAAACTTAGATAGTTTCCTTTGTAGTTATGTAACCCATAAATATGTACAATAAAAGCTTTCTGAGATATAATTATTTTATTTTGGATACCTTTCATCCGGACACCCTGTACTTCTTTTAAAACACATCTGACTGTGGTATACCTTGAGTAGGCAACCTCACAGATGAAAGATCTTTGTGTCTGAGTTCTCTGGTACGGAAATTTGGCTACCCCTCGTGTTCATATAATCTAGTAATTTTCTATGATTACGATCTGTGTTACTGATGATACAGCCTCAAAGATATTTAGTCAGAGAACAGCACCATCTCTCGTAATCTCTGAAGCAGATACATCACCATCCTCTCAAATTTTAGGCCTACCAAGACCTGCTAATTTTACAAATAACATCCCCTGACACAATGTGGACGTATTAACGCCCTGATCGTCTGAACAACTACGCCAGTGAGGGCAGAAGAAATGCACCCTTGAAGCTCCAGGCTGGGGGTTGGGCATTAGGCTCAAGAACCTCATTTCTGAAGACAGGTTGTATGATGTAAAGAATGATTTATGGGAGCTGAAAGTGAAGAGATGGAGGCAAAGTTCTTGGAGGATGCTGTAATTTCAATGCCTGGGCTTTACATTACAAGTAGTTACTATAGGATTCTGACGATGGTGTATAACACACTGATATGTTGGGTTTTTGGACTTTATCCATCGTCCTGGTTTTTAAGATAACAAATAAAAACACGACGTTTCGGAAACTGGATCTGTTTCCGTCCTCAGGTGAAGGAAAACACCTATTCAGTTGGGTCAGTGATTGAGGCTAGCTCTTTCTAAGGGACCCAACTGAATAGGTGTTTTCCTTCACCTGAGGACGGAAACAGATCCAGTTTCCGAAACGTCGTGTTTTTATTTGTTATCTTAAAAACCAGGACGATGGATAAAGTCCAAAAACCCAACATATCAGTGTCTTTACATTACAGTTTGTGGGAATTCAGAAATTCTGGGTATTACCTTATTTATATTTTATTGATACTGAAGTGAGCATCAGAACATAGAATCACAAAACATCTCATTACTAGAAGCCTTTCTTTCTCAGTTCTATAATCTTTCACTAGTCCGAGAAATATCATTTTTCTCACAGAAGGTAACATGTATCCTCATAACACACACACTCACACGCACACAACCCCACCCTGAATTAGGCAAACTAAAGTCTTCTGTTCCTTCTCAAAATCAGACTGTCACAGTGATATATATTTACAACCATCTGGTTATCCACAGGAAAACATTCTTCCTTGCAATAATCCCGTTTGCTTGCACAGTGTCTGCACTTTGCTTCCTTTTCTGCTGTTGTGCAAAAAGGCACATATAAAGAAATAACGCAGCCTTCCTTTCATCACCCACAAAACCAAGACTCCTTTACCTTGCCCATGAAAGTTGCACAAAACAAAACTGGTGCTACCTACAACACATATTGGTTAAAGCATTTCTAGAAACTAGAAGCTGTTCCATCTTGTGACGTCAAACTGAAATCAAGCAAGAGTTCAATGTTCAAATTGAGAGCATGACAATTAAGATCTGCTGGATCAGCTAAGAATCAACCCAACATTCGGCAATTCACATATAATCCTGCTTAGTTACGCTACATCTATTTTTTATCCACCTCTGTGTGCATGTTTTGTGATAATCACACACAACTTTATTAAAATTTAAAAAAATTGTATTTCAGTAGTTTCTGGATTATTCTTCGAGTTCATTGAACAGTAGAACAACTACACTGGTTATGACATACAGCTACATACAGTACACTACTGCATTGTTTCTTGGATCTATGCAAAAGAAAAAGGGGGGAAAAATTATATATATATAAAACATTATATATATGTAGTGGTAACGAAATAAGATTTGATATATAGCCCTCTGCACAGTGTCATGAGGGTATGACTAACACTGGCCTGAAACACACTGAAGCAACAGTTCCCCTATCCAAGAATAATGGAGATAAGTTGCTTTTTATTTTATTTTATTTTTTGAGTGAGTGCAACTTCATTTTCGTTTCAAAAAGTACATAAAATGCTGAAGGAGTTTGGTTTTCTTATAAGCAAAGGTTTGGTCAAATGATACCTGTTTGAAAGGGAGATGGCTTCACCATCACGTACAGATTTCAATCCATACTGCTTGGCTGCTGAAACCTAATTCCCCTGTTTGCAGTCACACTGACCAACAAGCAAATGACTTTAATATATCATAGACAACATTCTGCTTGTTATAAGTCTTCATCTTTTGTACCAATAAACCAGCAAATCTTAGTTAAGATGGAAGCCTTTTTCTCGAGTGGCTGCCAATAACCGTTCTCGTAACAAATCCTCTGTGGGGTAGTCTGGCAGTTTCAGGTAGTGGACACAAGTGTTCACTGAGGGGTAACTCCCTTCTCCTGCATCCACTTTGCGCACTACAGTCAATCGAGGGTACAGGTTTGCGAGTCCACCTGGTGGCAGTGATGAACAACCAGTTGTGAACTGTAGGAATGCCTTCCGTTCCTCTGCAGACATGTTGACCAAGACGTTCACAAATCGCTGGAAACCGGGACTGAAAGAGAGTTAAATGGGTCAACATGAGCTGATTGACCAAATTTGGGTCAGGGAAAGAATGAACAGCTTCCTCCCACCCATCTAAACTAGCTGCCACCACCACTGTGCATGCCTTCCCCCATTCCCACCAGTTGTTGCCTGTAATTCTGGCTACTGCTCCATTCATAGGGTATCTCTCTTTGCTTTCATCATCATAATCATCAGCAAAACAGCCCTTTCTGAGCTGTAGTCTCCCTTAGAATATTCTCCTAGATTTGTCTATAGATCATCTGGTCTTCACTTCTTTGGATTTTGCAAGAATAATCTTTTTATGGAGCAAGGTCATTATTAACCTTGCATCCAACTCCCAACCTGGAGGACCAGGTCTCTGTATTTATGTCCCCCAGGGACAGGATGGCCTACTTATAACCCCAGGCACTGGGTTCCCTTTTCACTGCCTTCTCCAGCTAGCAGGGCTATGGTGGAGGTATCACAAGCCACCTCCACACAGGATCTCTTCGCATTCTTTGCTGTTACTAGTGGTGATGGGGGGGCAGAAGGATGGAGGGGCAGGCTACACCCCCATCCCGTGTGTTCATTCCTTCCCTGATCAACGTATAACATGGCTGTCGTGTAACAGATGATAAGTGTTTGACTGATTAAAAAATATTCTGCTGTTGGATTTTGTAGCCCCATCAGAAAAGCCAACTGTTAGATATCTTGAATCAGTCAAACTCAGTTCACAATCCACTTCTCTATGAAGTAGACACCATCTATACTAGGTCAAATATTCATACCCTAAAAGACTCAGCTGTCATGTCTGACAGATGGTGGACAATGATACATGACTGATACGACAAGAAACTAAGCAGAATTTGCAAAGCATATTTTCCTACTGTACACATTTCTTGTTCACTGATGTAACATCATTTCATTTTTGTGAACTGAGCATTCTGTGTCCACCTTAAATTTGATAAAGTTTCATGCTGTCACCTTGTCTGTAAGTGCTAATTCACAAATAGTACTTCATACGACGCGTGGGTACGTATATGATTTCTCTGCACGACTTTTACATGCCTAGCTCCAACAGCACTTTCATTAACATCATCAATAAAGAAATTATTTCACATACTCACTATGTCTTCTTATTTTACATACCCCCCCTCCCACTCCCAAAAAAAACTGAACTCTTTACTAATCATGGAATGGAAATGGTCAGTATTCTGACCAGTTTCTACTTACAATTTAATACTTACATTTCTCCAAAGACCACACTGTACTATGACATCACTAAATATTCATAGCTACAGTCATGTTGTGGGGAGGGAACAAAGCACACAGTTTTATCTCTGACTACAGATGGACCATGTACTCAAACAAGAAGCACAGAGATGAAGAAACAGAGTGACAGGACCAACAAATATGCAAGAAACGTTCAATTACAAATAATGAGGTCACAATTAAGAACTTTAATGTGTTTGTGTCTTTATTCCACAGCCAGGATAGGGACTATGCAACAAGCTGGCAGAGCAGGGAAGGCCAAGACATTTTCCAGTTCCCTACGGCATCCAGACCATCTGTGGGTGCCACCCTATTTCCTATCCAATGGGTACCAGGGGCTCTTACCTTGAGGGTGAAGCAGGTGGTAATAAAAATTAGAATGTGCTCAGAAAGTTGATAAAACTTCCCAATATCAAATTTAATGGAATCCACTGTGATTTTTCAGCTGTTTCAGGCATACACACAGATGGCTGGAAAATATCTTAGCAGAAACACCACAGGGTTGCAAACATGTCTAACAAAATACTTCACTGCTGAGGTCAAAGTTCTCTCTCATACTGTTCCCAGTGTCAAACACTTTGAAGATATACTACAAGTACAGAACTCACCTGTCTCGTGTATAACCCAACTTGGGTTCCGTGTAATTGAGCAAGTCCTCACGTGACCACTGTGGGTTCTGGTCTCCGCACAGCATCACGCGAACTTCCTCAGGGCTGAATGCTCTTAACTTGTCCATTGGAAACACTCGATAAAACCCAGCATGGAACGATTCCAGCTGGCGAGCAATCCCTTTCTCAAGGCAGAATGCCATGGTGAGGTCACCATATTCCTCCACATTGTCTAAAGTCACTTCCATGTCAGCACCGCCATCAGCGAGGTCGGCCGCTGTGTAACCGAACACTCGTGAGGATGGCAGGTATGTAAAGGTGATGGCCAAGTCTTCAAGCCTAACGACTGGGCCAGATGATGGGACTAGAGCCAGATTCTGGATCTGATGAGCACGTGTTTCACAAGACAGCGTGTTGTCTTGAGCGATGCGTGCCTTGCGGGCTACCAGCTCCTGCAGCTGGTGCAGGAAACGTCCCCGCACTGGATCGACTTCTATGAGATCCTCACTGCCAAGGATGCCACTGAACCTGAGTAATAAGTCACAGTTGTGACTGTCCAAGTTTCATGAAGTATTTCTCATGGGTTACAATTAGAGGAAGTAAACCATAATACAACGTCCGTAGTACAAACTAGGGCTGAAAGATTAATGGTACTTAAATTCTGAATATACACAGTTCATGTCCCTTAAAGTGACAGGTCTCCAGTGATAAAGTCAGGAACAGTATCCATTACATTAAGGGACCACCCTGGTATTTACCGGAAGAGTGTGAGGAAAGCCATAAATACCCTCAATGCAGGCAGTCGGCATTCCAGACAAGATTTGAACCAAGCACCTTATGAATAAGTCAGAAGCATTACTGCTTCAGTCAGCTTGCCTGGTTACTGTCTCATACTTCAGCTAATGCTGTACTTATGCAACAATTTGACGGAATATTCCTATTTCCCCCTTTCACTGCTGATCCCTTCGTCTCCTTTACTGGCAGTATAACCCTGTGTGGGTCTTTGCTTCCTCCATGGTTTCATTACTGTAGGTTTTTCAGGGGTTGGTGTCATTAGCACAATGTTAAACCCCCAACCCAGAGAGTCAGGGAGTAGATTTCATATGGCCCCTACCCTTTCACCTGTTTGGCATGAGTGGCCTAAACTGAAAGCTATGTTCCTGCCAGAATAGCCCTCCAGGTCACCGTAAAAGCAAAAGTAAAGTAATGCTAAACCTGTAACAGGCTGTGGAGGCCCATAGGGTTGTGAGATGTTGAGGTTCCCACATTTTCTAGACAATCGGCTCATAGATGGCGGCAAGGTTGTCAGCCCTACGTGCTGGCTGCCCTTTACCCCCAATAACATTCCTAGAATCTGTCAGGGGCCAAGTCGACCCCAGCTGGAAGGATTGGGCAAATTGGGGGGGGGGGAAATCCAATGGCCTCATCGGGATTTGAACCCACGACCTTCTGGCTTGTATCATACTGCCTCAACCAACTACACTACCGCACGCCCCCTCCCACCAGGTCACTGGGGCATGTTAACCTCCTCCCCACTACTTTATTTCAGCTGTTACCAGGCAGATAAATGCACTTGGGATCTGATACATATGGCCTGTAGCCCGAGATGATACATGCGAGTTGTTGCTCTCGGGCTTACATAGGCCAGCTTACCAAGGTTTGGAGTCCTCTGGGTTTAGCTTTGGTGGGTCTAATTCCAGTTCTTTTTCACTTTCCTCAGAAATGTAAGATGACATCATTACGTCTTCTTCTGCCACATTAGCGCGACGGGAACCGGGAAGAAGACCAATTCTGAAGCAAGAATTAAGCATAAATCTCTGTGCAAGCATGACGAACAGAACGATTTTCAGGAAAACTTTTGATGATGTGCCCATTTTCACAAGTCACCACTGGTATGCTGGGTTACAAAGACATCATACTTGCTCTAAACTGGGAACATCATAAAGACTTTTATTTCGAGTTACTTATTAATGCATAGAGAAATGATACACTGTCTTTTAATTATAAAATAAGACTAGCACTTCGGATATTCAGGTGTGCCTTTCTGATTCTGATCTGTCTGAAGTTTGGTTGCCATGGTATCAAACACAATATGTGCACCAGAACTGTAAATGGACTACTTTACTTCCACTTAACAATTAAATGAAAATTTTGATTATTTCTCATTCCTTCCTTTGAAATATCTGCAACAGTTCATCTAATTCAATGTGACTGTTGGAACACAGTGCTACTATGTAAAACTATTAACCCTTATCATTTGGAAAAAGGGACTTAACTACCAAGCTGGTGACCATATTTGAACTTGGAGCAGCAATATTTATAGTTTCTTGATCTCGGGTTTCCATTTAATGTCCTATTTCAATAATCCAACTCGATAACCTCAGTATTAAACTATTTCAATATTTTCATTTTAGACTTTCCTCAGTTTAATGTTCAAATTTACTTCACTCAAATTTAACCTTAAGTGGGGTTTCACTGTAGAGTGGAAACAATGCAATACAAGGCATGTGCTGTCATTGTAGGGGGAAGCACAGACAATAAAGGTTAATTTTTTTTTACCCATCTTCAACATATAGATCTCACACACATTACAAAACTTTTATGAAACAGGCTGTGGTGCCATGCTTGGCATAACGATGTTTTATAGAAGTCCCACAGGGAATGTTACCTTTCATTGATGTTGTTCTGAATTTCCCCATGGCACATGAGCTTCAGGAATGGCTGTGAGAGAGGAAGATCCACCAGACGATTATCTTGCAGCACCTTCGCTAGGAATACACCGAGAAACCAGAAATACTTCACGGCTTTATCACAGGCAGGAGATTCTTGTGGCAGGGGTGCTGGGAAAAGGCCTGATGGCCGTCGAACATAGTAGCCAGGCGGTTTCATACCCTCACCCAGGTCCAGTGGAACGTCAGAGCCATCTGTTTCAGTCTGCTCATCATCGTCACATAGCCACATGCCCAGATCCCGTCGCTGCAATTCTGCTGCTACCAAAGCATAAAACTCTAGCGTTGGCCCGAGTCCTGTGCCCTCCTCTCCTTGGAATTCAACCTGGAATTGTTAAAGTAGGAAGAAATCTTTGCAGAGGACACAGAATGATCTAACAGCACAGTTCAGTGTGTACCCAGAAGGCACTATGAAACTAAACGCTACTTGGAAGTGGAAGCAATGCGAGAATGAGGACGAGACTGAAAGAAGAAAGAAATAAGGAAGAGGAGAGGTGTACCTCCAAAATGCTCTTCCTGTCTGCATGTATCCTCATGACCTGCATGGCCCAGTCCAGCAACTGCTCCCCACGAGGAACTTTCACACGTTCATGTTTCAAACGTCCGACTCTAAACTCGTGAGGGTCCTCCCTTCGGGGTGAAAGGCCAGGCGCTCGCTGTCGTTCCAGAGTTACATCACGCTGTGTTTGTAGCCACACAATTGACCTGTAGCAAACAATTATAACATATATTTAAATACTAGGGGTGCCCCTCAAACGGTTCTGTAACACAAAGTAAAATAAATAAAAGAAGAAAGGGAAACAATAAGAACTAAATTAATCCATAATTATACTTGTAGACTTTTATCTGAAACAAATGCCACATAAAGGCCAAGAGAGCATGCAAAAATATATGGAGTGGACTCTGAAACCATGTATAGTCCACCTGAATCACACCCTTCCATTTTTCTTTGTGTAATATCTCAAGACTGGCTGCACAGTCACATGCACATGGTCCAGCTGCCACAGCACTGCCTTTCCCACCACCCCAGATCTAATACTGCTACCCCTAATGGCCAAAGAGTAGCAGATTAAAAATCCCCCATTCCTGGATGATACATTGTTACCTAAATCTTAAAATACAGCTACTTTCATTCGTATGTTTTGCATCCTGTTGTGTATGTCACTACCACATAAATATGTCTGTCAATTGCAATAATCTTATGCTTTTAAAATATAAATGATAGATTCAAATTGTCGATAAAATCAGTTAGTTTATGAAGATGTTATTTTGCTATATGTTTGGGTCATTTACAACCATCATCAGGCATTTATAAACAACAGAACATGTCTAGGTTCATTACTAGACTGTGTCGCAATGGATCCAATGCTAAGCAGTCTTGTAATGTAAAAGTTTTTACATAGAATTAAAATGTTTAAATGTTAAAATATGTGTCTAAAATCAATAAACCTTATGTGCAATTATTGTTATTCTTCTAAAAATTATCATGTATAGGGTATTTTTATTTATTAACAGCGCAAAACTGTTGTGATGACAAACGTAATTACATAGTTAGAATACAGCTGTCGATGCCACAGTACTGAGATATGTATAACCTCTATTCACGAGGACAAAAATGAGACAGCGCACACGACACTTGTGGGCACAGATGCGGTTACCTGGAGGCACCAAATGCCGTGCAATTGAAGAAAAGCTGCCGGGTCTCGAAGGGGAACAGGAATGGACATGAATGATTAAGCTCCTCGCACCAGCTTGGCAATGCACCAGATGATAACACCAAGGGGTCCTGTATCTGCTGAAGCAGTTTGTTTGTGATCTTCTTGCTTGTGAACTCTTCTGGTGACAATTCCCCATCACTCTCCATATCTGCCAACAGCAACCCCGTAAAATGACTGAATCATCCTTACATTCTTTAATGATGTTTTATAAGCAGTGGTTATATAGTGTCAAATGAGATGGGACAACAAACAAGCAGATATGGTTTTCATGATAACTCTCTATTTCAAGTGTGACACAACGCAGATTACATACTGTCACATCCCAGAAGTCAGTAATTTTCATACTTTCCTTTCTGTACCATCATTTAGAATGTGTCACTCACCATCTCATTTAGAATAAATGTGTCGCTCATAATCTCATTCACGATAAATGTGTCACTCACCACCTCATTTAAAAAATGTCACTTACAAGCTCATTTAGAATAAATGTGTCACCCATTATCTCATTCATAATAAATGTGTCATTCACGATCTCATTTAGAATAAATGTGTCACTCACAAACTCATTCAAAATAAATGTGTCATTAACAACCTCATTTAGAATAAACATGTCATGCACCATCTCATTTGGAATAAATGTGTCATTAACAACCTCATTTAGAATAAACATGCCATGCACCATCTCATTTGGAATAAACATGTCACTGACCATCTCATTTAGAATAGATGTGTCACTCACCATCTGCTGCGTTTTGAGCATCGTCTCGGAATGTGCTGATAACGAATAGGTGTCTCAGCAGCTGTAGCACATCCTCCACAGTGCACGACATTGAAGGGGTTCCAGGAATAGGGGTGGAGGGGGATGTTGTGCTCGACAGGGTACCCGCATCCCTTGAGCCTCGGGAATAAAGTGTTATCACAGGGGTGCTCTCCCCACCCACCTCATGGCCAGAGCCTTCTTCTTCCTTCACCTCACGATATACAATCCTGAAACAACCAGGAGAAGGCCAGTGTGTAAATCAGGGATAGCACTGTATTTGAATGTGTTGAGAGAATCTGTAACCCAACCATCTGAACTGGAACCCGTCACTTTCATCACGTGTACCACACTACACATGTCAATGCGTTACAAATATGAAAGACATTTGGTCTGTATGCTCTACAGATTTTANGAAATGTGTTGAGAGAATCTGTAACCAAAGTGCTTATAAACCCAACCATCTGAACTAGAACCCGTCACTTTCATCACGTGTACCACACTACACATGTCAATGTGTTACAAATATGAAAGACATTTGGTCTGTATGCTCTACAGATTTTAACTACAGTTACTACTTCTGACAATATCCACTGTTTCGAAATGCTTTGCAGTACTGCATTTTGGAAAATGGACATTGGCACCATGTGGTGTAAGAGGAAAAGGTTCCTATTCCACTGCACCCATTAGAAATATCATTCATCAACAATTAATATCCAAAAAACAGTCATAGTTACTGAAGAAAGCAGTCTTCTGGGATTTGGCACCGTGTATAAGTGGTGTTAACCGACGTTTCAGAGGAACGTATCGCCTCNAGTTACTGTTACATATTATCATCAAAAACCTTCAGACATCTACAAATTCCACCTCAAGAATTTCTTGACCCACTGAATATTAACTTATTGCTGATTAACACCATTCCCAAGATTCTCTCCCTCTCCCTCCCACCCTTTCCATTTTGAGAGAGGATCCTATTTATACACAGAAAGCCACCCAGCTTACACATTTCGACTTCGGAAATGGNCCAGAACAAGGGAAGTTAACCATGAGACAAGAGGACTAGGCTCATTGGAAGCGAAACACTAAACAGACTCACTGTTGTAACTAAACAACAAACAAACTCATAATACACTAACCAAGTGCATCCTACAATGTCTTCACTGATAAATTCATAGTTATTCAGGTAGTCAAAAAATTCCCTATCATGGAATCCAAAAGTTTGCCACAACAATTAAGAGGATTATCACATTTTGTAACAAGAAACACATCTGCTAGTCAATGAACCAGCCTTATCTGTGCATACACACACCACTTCACAGAACTATATGGTCAACTAACGTGTAGGTTGGTTCCCAGATACGGCGTAGCTTTTCTTGCCGACTGCCAAGGTCCGCCAGTTGTACCAACTGTTGGACTGCACGAAATATTGTCCAGTTTGGATCATTCAGTTCCACTTCAACATCCTGTACCTGCAAGAAAATCATGATTGATTTCTATATTTTTCACAGCTGGAGTACCACTTGCACATCCAAAGACCATCAAGTGAAAGAAAAGCCCAAGACTCAAATCAATCTTAACAGTGTGTTGCACTCTTCATTTTGTATATTTCTTCCTAGCTTATATAATTAAACTTTTAGCTCTTACAACACGAAAAAGTGAAGAAGATGAACCTGTTAAATCAGTACATATACACCCTGTAAAGCAGATAGCATTGACAAAGCGAGACTAACTGCTGCAGAAAAGGAGGCATCTAGTTGCCAATAAAGCAACATGTGTAGCAGAAACCAAGTCTTTTTAACAGATATGAGGTCGTCACAGTACTGGTCTTCTGTGATATAACACCATGTAGTTTGGTAGATACTTGTTGTGGCATGTAGACCCACTGCTGCGCAACTTAGTAACAGTTGTTACTAAGTAACAGCCTCGCAAACATGTTCCCATGGTAACAACTGAACTACAACAACGAGGAATGGTGTTTTCTGTGTTGTTGTGCTGAAATATCATAAGTGGGACAACTTGGGAGCTGCAGTTGGTAAGTTAGTTAGTGGAGTTCGTTCATTCATGAGTGATTTAGTGAGGATTGCTGTGGTTCAGTCCTTGCAAGCTGTCACTGTGAGAAGCTGGTAGCTGAGGCATAGGGGGAGTTTCGGGAACCAAGAGGAAGGGGAAAGTCCACCAATGGAAGCTGTTACCAGAAAACTGGTGAAGACACAGAAGGCTGTGGTGAACTAGCAACAATGCTATAGCTACTTGCAGTTATGTGTTGTGCGTATAAATGTGCGATAAATCCAATCACCGATCCAAAACACATCTAAAGTCATTCCATAAAAACGTGAAAATATAAACATTGCAAAGAAACCTGTTTTGTCCTCAATCCTGAAGATGGAGATGGTAGGTTTCTTCAAAATATTGGTCCCTGTCTATCAAACCACAGAGGATCGCAGCCTAGAAAGCCACTTAACTTACCCCTGGTAGGTTTGGTCCTCGCAGCACAAGGTGTAGCTTCGGCTGCGGCATGAGATCCACTTCCTGACTGTTGCCTCTGTCATCTGCTCCAGGAGGGGGCACTTCGAGATCTGTTGTTTGGTTTACATTTGTTCGGCCTGGGCGCGGATCGAATGCCGGAATCAGTGCCGAGAACTGTCTCTTTAGAACATATTCATCATCCCAGCTGCGGCGTTTCCCATTTCGTACCTCGTACCCTTCCTCCTCCTGTCGAGTACCATAACATCATGGCACATGTCACAGTGGCAACATATACACATATAGACCACTTCTATGAAGTAGTCTGGGATAGTACTGAGTCACTGACAGGCTGCAACTCAAGCCAACGGTATTACTTCAGCAATTTAATCAAACAATTACAGTAACTACAACTTCATATTCTGTACACAAGATATGAGGTTTCACAGTGGAGTATTAAAACTGTGGCTTTTAGTATGTAAGTGAACTATACCCAGCGACCACCGCCTGTCGGCGAAGTTAGTGCCAACTTTTGTGGATAGAGGGTGTCGCATGGTCAGTGCAACAGATACCCACGGCTGTTGATCTCGGTTTTCTAGACCAGAGCCACTGCTTTTCCATTCAAGTAGCTCCTCAATTATCCTCACAAGGCTGAGTGGACCCTGTTCCAGACCCACTACTTCTCAGAAAATCTGGTAGCACTCGGAATTGAACCCAGGACCTCTGACCACTAGCCCACAGAGGCAGCTTATTTGTGGTTAATTTTACAGTGTTGTCAGCACCTACACCACATAGCATCAAATGACAGGATGACTAATGAATAATGAACTGGAAAGGATTTGGAAGAATGTGGTTGTGACCTGAAGTACTACCCCAATATTTGCTTGAAATGACTAAAGAAAACCAAGAACGAAATTCAGGGTAGTTGGAGTCCCAGACGAGATTCGGTGTGACCACCTCCCCAGTATCCCAATATTTGTCAAGAAGGACTGAAGAAAACCATGAAGAACCTCAGTCTGAGTAGCTATCAGCTATACCAACCAGCTTGGCTTTTACAGTAGTGAAGATTCATATTTTAATAAAAAAATATTAACATATTCTTTCCTCACTGACCTTCATAGTACCATTCCCTAACCTTACCACGCATTATACTGTTCTGGTTAAGGGTGGGGAGGCATGTTTGTATGCAAGGCATTTGAGATTCAACAGAAGTATATATAGTGCAAGCCGGTCACAGAAGCCGAGAGGTCTAAGGCATGCACTGTCTTTGCTCACTCGGAAGCCGGGATCATGGGCTCTAATTCCACTTGGGCATGGATGAAATACTGATGAACTTCGGTCTTATAAGACCGCTGCAGTGGGTAGATCTAATCACATCCTTGTTATAATGCAAAAAAACTGTGCACAGATTTCAGGCAACTATGGAAGTAAATACAGCATTTTAGAATTCTTACCAAATTTCACTTCCATGGTTTCATACAATCAAACTGAGCATGAACCTTATCAGAAATACGCAATTCACCACATTCTCATGCTAGCTTTTCCAACTGCAATGCTCAGCACATGTCAAAATATCGATGATACAGTCTGACCCTTTCTTTTTAAAAGAAAATTCACTCATAATACTAGTACCCTGTGAACAAACCCCATTCCCCAAGAAAAATAATTAATTAATAACCCTACTGCTACTAGAGATGATGTCACATCATTCAATAATTTATGATACATCCTGTTACTAACTTCCCTCACATCAAGTTCTGAATGACATACATTCCTGCAGTCTGATATGTACACATGTTGATTCTAAACAGTTCTGACGATTGTGGATGACACGGAATTACTGGTGTTTTGGACCTTTTCCATCGTCTGGAATTTTAGGTAACAGAGGACACGATGTTTCGGAAACTGGATCTATTTCCGTCTTCAGGTGAGAAAGGAAGAAACCTACTCAGTTAGGCCCCTTAGAAAGAGCTAATCTCAATCTCTCACCTGAGGACAGAAACAGATCCAGTTTCCGAAACGTCGTGTCCTCTATTACCTAAAATTCTGGACGATGGAAAAAGTCCAAAACCCCAGTATTCTGTATGTACAAATGTTGTCTACCCTTAAAATCCCTTACAAACAATAGAAGCCATATACAATAAGTCAATACCATTTCTTGCAATCTCTCTGCCTCTAAACATCACATTTACACTTAATATAAATATCATGTGGGTGTGTACCATAAATGATAGTAAATTTCTGCTAACCATGACCTCTTCATAATCATCATCATCCTCATTCTCATCATCATCATTTTCATCATCATCTGGTCCAGGCATTTCATCATCATCTGGTCCAGGCATTTCATCATCATCTTCCAGTTCAGCCAACAATGTTGGGGCACGACAGCTGTCCAGGAAATCCTGTCATAAAACAATCAATCAATCACTGTTCACTGACGGTCAAGTGATACAGAAAATAAAGTGAATCAAATAATTATAACTTAATCACATGTTCGGCGTGCAAGCCTCAACACTTTCCTGTCTTCCAGTAAATAAACTTCTGGGATCATAACTTTCCTGTATAGGTCCACAATAAGAAGCCTTCTACCATCAAATTTATGAATTTACTTCCTCACTGAGCCGGTCACGGTAGCCGAGTGGTCTAAGGCATGTACTGTCTTCGCTCGCTTGGAAACCGGGATAGTGGGTTCGAATCCCACTCAGGGCATGGATGTTTAGTTTGTGTGTGTGCAGTTTTCTGTGTCTGTGTACAGGCAGAGGCCTTGCGACGAGCTGATCACCCGCCCAAGGAGTCCTACCAAATGTGTAAGATCTAGAAAAACCGAAGTGAACGGAGAAGTTCATGGAGGTAGGCCTAGGCCCACTGGGGGGGAAACTTCCTCACTGCAACTGTTTGATGAGAGTTGCACATCTCTACTCTTTACATTCCTTGATATCTCTTTTAGTAGCTTATGTAGTGAAACAAAAGACAGCGGGAGTTCCATATTTTCTTGAACAGTTTCTACACATATTTTTATGACATTTGCCTGGTGGATCTGGTAGGACTGAGGCTAGAAATAAAAAAGGATAACTCCACAAGGCTGTATACAGACTTAAACACCACAAAATGAAGGTTATGCTCAAGCAAGTCCCAATAACATGATGTTTATACCAAGTCCAATGATAATCCACACACTGCTTAAATGTGTATTACAAGTGTGGAGGGGGGGGGGGTTAGAGACTCTACACGTGCACACAACATGGTTCCTAATCAGACACACAGACACTTGCAGGAGTTCTTTGTTTATAAAACAAGAGAAGGATAGAAGTGCACTACCTTGGATGATTTCTCTTCTGACCATCTGTATGCTGGAAATTATCCCCTGGTATGAGGTACCCAGCAACACAATTATTTTGCATTCCTTGCAAAGAGGGCACAAAACGAACACATGTAGGGGACACCATGTCTAATTCTGATTCATATCCAAACCACTGACAGATTTAGGTAATACTTTGTTATTGGAAAACCAGACTTAAAGATGTCAGGAAATTTAAAAAATTCTGGTTCATATCAGACTAGTACAATCCTCAGCTTATACAAACCTCAAATCCTGCTTTCCTGACTTCAAAAAATGTTCGAAGCACAAAAATTCATACACAATACAAATTACGATATCTAACTTTAATTTGAAACATTTTCTGATATTTAAACTTTACTGCAAGAGCACCGCACTTTAAATCTCTCAGTACAATGGAACTGTAGGCAGATTCTACCTCAGAAGTCACAGTTTACCATCCAGAAACAGGAGATTTTAAACATCTTGGTTCTACTGACATCATGCAATTAATGACTACCATACAAAAGGGATATGCAAGGGTGTAAAGAATGTATAAAGGTCATCCAGACAGTAAAGGCCATGAGGACACATGTGCTACCTGCAAACATTGCCTGGGTCTCTTTTTTTCCTCCATCCTCCCTAAGTCTGGACCTGGCTCCAAGTGATTTTCACTTGTTCACACACTTTAAGAAGTTTCTGGGTTTCACACGCATGCATATCGATCAAGCAGTGAAGAACATGGTTAAAAAGACTGGTCCAGTGGACCAGTGGCAGATCTCTTATGATGAGAAACTCGTCACACAACATGACAAGGACTGAATCTTCATGGGGATTATGCAGGAAAAAGATTTAAGGTCTGTAGGGATGTAATTTTTTTTGATCACCAAAAGGATTTTACCTTCTGGATGACCTACATATTTTAGGCCCACGTACTTGTACTCTACTGAGTATATACACGTGTTTCTACTCCTACGCAGGCTCTGGTGAACTAACCTGCTCACTGTCGCTGGATGTGGATGTGAGGCTCATTGTGAGTGCCTGGCTAAGGCAAGGCCCAGTGCCTGCTGTTGTTGAGATTCCACCTGAACCTGTGCCAGTAGGTCCACTCGTAGTGAGGCTGGGGTAGCTCTGTGCTGTGCTCAGCAAGCCACCTGGTACACGAGAGGCATGAACACGTTTATATACTGATAACAGACCAAACTAATTACTCACTTAGTAACACTAAAGAGATACTCACTTGCAGTGCTGAGAGCATACATTTGTAGGTTCATACATAATTTGTGTAGGTGTATTTCTTTTCTGTTTGCAGTTTTTGAATTTTATGCAAGTCATCAGACGAAGAGACAACTATTTTTTGAAGGTAAACTACATGGCGTTGCAACTCAGAAGACCACATTCCTCAACTCCACCATTCCTGTTAAATAAACGGATATAGGAGGCCTCCAGAGACAAACATGACTAACCTGGAAAATTGGAGGACAGCGCAAGCCGGACAAGACTGGAGACAGAGCTGGGACCACGGGGGAAGAGCGAGCTCCCGGGAGACGGCGATGGAGAAGGTGTTGTGCACGATGGGGATGGAATGCTCCCTCCACCTCCACTGCCGGCATTGCCTGCACCAGATCCCGTACCACCCCCACCAGTGCCGCCAGCACCACCTGTCACAGCACCAAGAGTGCGGCGACGTGCCATCGTGGCGAACGTCTCAAGCAGTCCTGCAGTAGCTGATGTTTCCATCGTGTTGGTCCCAGCTGCTGACGTCAAGTTCGGAACACTCACGCTCATTGCGTTTGATACGACCACGGAACCTCCACTTGGCTCTTCCTCGCACTCCTTGTCTCTCTTAACTGGAAAAGTAACATCTCAGCGTGTTCAGTTCCGCATGTTTTTTGTCAGAAAAGCGTTAACAAATATATGACGACACTATACAGGATTTGTCATATGTGACTTAAGGTTCTCACAGTAGTGAATATTAAGGTTACAGTTTCTTGAGATGTGACATTGTGCACTTTGGTAGGTATGTACCAATGTTTCATTGCTACCTGCTGATGCCATCTGCAATCCTGAAGGACAGAACAGTCACTCTTCTACCCTAAAGAATAGCAGCAGCTGGTTCCTCCAAAACACAGTTACCTATCTACACAGTACAGCATCACACATCAGAACACTGTAATAAATCATGATAATCACAGTCATGCAATTTTTTTCAAGAGATTCTAGACTAGGACTGAAAACTCAGCTATCAAGCAGGACTTAGCATAATTCTTATTATAAATATGGGTACAGTGACTTGGATATCTATTAAACATGAGTAAAAACTGATGGATTCCTTTGGGCATAAAATATGATGGTGAGAAAAAGGAGCATTGCAAAGAAATGGGTAAATGTACCTGTAATGCATATAATTCAGTTAATTTGGGTAATTTGAATGAAATTGCATTAATTTTAAGTTTTTATAGTAATGTTCTTTTTAAATTATGTTTATTAATTAGAATTGTAATAAGTTTTTTGTTCTATTATCTATGTTAATGGACTAATGTATGTGATTTTAATTATGTAACTTATGTAATTTATTATATGTATACATCTATTATCAAAGGGACTATTTCCACATCCTAGGTTTTTTGCCTGTATGGCTATATGGAAAATAAAGGAAATGAATGAATGGGAAGACAGTGTAATATGGAGAATTTGTAATAAGACAACTCATTCAAAGAAAATGAGCGAAGAAGGGGCAAAATGGAGAAAATGATGCCTGAACACAACAAATTCAACATAAAACATAAGTGAGAACAGCTTGCTCAGATGCAATATGATTCTTATCATGATACCAGTCTAAAGGTGTCCTAAGATTAATCATCACAGCAAGCAAATCGCAATTAAGATCTAAAAGTTTCTGACAATTGTATATTAATGCAAATACTGAGTTTCTGGACATTACCCACATCCTGTTTTTTTTTAAATTTAGAACACAATATTTTGGACACTAAGGGTGGCCGCACACAAACTGCGTCAAGACATGAGATAAAATATGCAGTCTTGCTTCATTTGTGATTCGTAAGCATGAAGCTCACGTCAGCATCATGACTCAGACTGGTGTCCGGCATTTTTCATAATCTCATTCGTTTCAACTGTGCTCCTTTCTTTGCATCATGTCACAGATATCGTGTCTAGACTGTTACATGTCTTGATGCATGCCGGTGCGTGGCCTACTTACGTGTATTAAAGATTACCTCTATCAACTAGGCTCAACTGAGTACGCTTTTACCTGAAGACAGAAACAGAATCCAGTCTCCGAAATGATGTTTTTAAAGAAATAAAAAAAAACAGGATGATGGATAATGTCCAGGAACTCAGTAATTGTATTAATGCCAATTAAGTACATAACATTCAGACTATAATCTTACTCTCGGTCACTGCAGCTGGGGGCTGTCTGTTCTTGATGCGTAATCCTTTCTCATTCATGACCGAGTCTGAACTCTCTTGTCCTCCGGTCACGCTAATACGAACTGATGGAGCTAATGTGGCGGCCATTAGTCCTACAATAAAGTATTCACCTTTCACTCTTATACTTAAATAAAGTGCAAAATTAATAAATAGTGAAAACCAAGGCATTTTGAATGATAAAGTCTTATTGGAGTACTCAGGCATGACAATTTATAGTCAAAAGTCTAGTGTTTTCAAGACAGGGGAAGTCTCCAGAATGCCAAAGCTCCAAACTGACAAACCCGGTGACCCAAGACATTACTTTAGTCACCATGATAGCTTCAAGCCTCAAGAGATTTTGTATTTCATATTTAGCCCAACCCATTCACAGTGAACAATATCAAAAGAAAATAATTTTATTACACAGTAGCAATTAACAGCTGCTTGTCCTTCAATTAGTATACGTTTGCCTTGGAAGTATACTTTCCTGAGTCATACAACTGTTAGTCTCTTTGGCATGCCCAATAACCATTAATTTAAAACTGGCATCATATAGACTTCAACAGAACGAAATCAACATGGCTTCCACATGATCTCTAATGATGTAACATCACTTATTAAGTGTCTGTTAACTAGTAACAGGCAGTTACTGCATACACAGTATTATCACCCATATATGAGAGTATGTTCCACATCCAGCAACATTCTCTCTTGATAAACATAAGCAAAGACATTTAGAATACAGAATTGTGGGTACAGCTTCTGCAATATTACCTATGGATGCAGCAGAAGATGGCTGCTGGCCGGTCCCAACCAAAAGAGAAGTGGGTAGTAATTCTCCTGACAAGAAGCTATTGGTGTTGTTGCGTAGCAAGTCGGCACCTTCTCTCATCTTATCCAACACCTCTACAGCTTCCACAGACAAAACAGAGTGCGGGTCTGTCGCGGAGGACAGCTGCACCTTATTCGCACGAGATGAGCCATATGTCTTGTTCATAGTGGTGGAACCGGACGATGACTGATTCGTTTTTGTAGCTTCAACGTTTGAAGTATTCCCAGAGGCTGATATCTTGTTTCTACCACAAGATGAGTTTGTTTCCTCACTGCAACTCATCTGCCGCCTCAGTTGGTTGCTTGTGGAACCTGACATGGGAACATTTATATATAGAATAGTAAATCTATCCCTGTAAGAGTCCATGGAGGCCCACTGGGTTGCTAGACATCAAGGATCCCACATTTTCTAGACAATCAGCTCACAGATGGCAGTGAGTCTGTCAGGCTTATGCGCCAGCCACCCTTTACTCCCAGGAAAATTCATGGTTCTCATTTATGTTAGAGGCTGAGTGGATCCCAGGGCCATATTGTGGCTGGAAGAATCATGACATGAAGAATCAAACCTGCGACCTTCCAGCTGGTAGAAGAGTGCCTCAACCAAATACGCTATCACGTGCCCTTTTGCTTGTGTATAGATACATAGTTTCCTCTCAAGTGAATCTGGCTCACTTTCCTCACAACATAGCACTGCTGATCCTTGCCAATTTAACAAATGCTAAGATTTCCTAGCACTTTCCCCATTTTACCTAACCTCAAATCCAAATTTTAATTTCTCTCTACTGAAAGCATAAAAACACTGACTGACATAATGTTATAAGGACTCTGTGCTACATACCAATATTAATCCTGGTTGATTCACCAAGCGCTAATGTCTCTACAATAGTAGCAAGGTCACTGGCAGCCGAAGATGAAATTGCAGACAGGTCAGTGTGTGGATCTCGTAATGCATGCACCACAACCGAGAGCTCTCCTGCGGGTGTAGATGAAGACTGGCTCTCTCCCGTCACTGCAACTATCGCTTCAGCTCGTGCCACTGACAGAACACTCTCAGCGATTGCTTCTGCAGCTTGCTACAACATACAAAGGGTACAAACTTGAAGAGTACTATCTCTTGGGGTGTAATGACACACAGCCCAGTAGGCGGGTACCAACATTTTGGAAGAATCTGATTCCTCCCTCATTCCTCAGTGCTGTGAGAACCTCAGACCTCCCATACTGCTAAGCCGGCTAATGAAAAGGGGGAGAAGGACTCAAAGTCAATTCAACTGCATTAGTTACTCATAAATTTTAATAAATGATTCAAAATTAAAAACAAATTTCACTTTACAGTTGATATTATAAGTTAAGAATGCATGCAGCTGTTATGTTATGTTATGTTATCTACCTTCCCCCACACCTTTATGGCACAATGATTAATATTTCAAACACAAATTCACAAACAATAAAATAATTATTATTTAAATCTTATTTTGAAAAATGTTCTTATCATGTTCATGAGAGGAGCAAAGTTAGATTAGTTAATCCTTAGCATTTGTACTGACCAGCCTGACATAGGGTACTTGTGCTAGATTGCCACTGCCTAAGAAAACTGGCTCTTAAGTTCAAGTGATGCGTAGAGGGAATAACAGGCATTCACACAGATTATTTCTGTTGTTTGAAGTTCATTTGAGGAAAGTTCTGTGGTTTTTCTGTGTAATTGCTATTAACAACATGCATCCTTGGCAGTTCTAGCATTCGGCTCTTGGTAGACAGAGGATTGATATCAATAAAATTTACTGGATTTCTGAGCAATCTTTGTAATATGAACATTTTAATCTAATTTTCTGGTTCAAGCTGAACAGTGAAACTGCCACACAGTGAGTACAACCTTTAATAAGGACTTCATTATAGGGAAATATACTACAATTGTGGCAGGCCCAAAATGTAGAGTACATATGTTAAGCAGCAATATCATTTAAACTATTTCCTGTTGCTACAGACTGACAAAAATCAAACTTCTTTTTTCTCACATATGCACAGGCAGCAAATTACAGGTGTAATGTGGCTGACAGCTGTAAGCATGCAGCAAACTGCAGAAAGGTTGCAAGCAGAAGAGGTTATGTATGTTTAAAAAATCTTTAAATCTGTGGTTCACACGCTGTTAATGGTGATGAGATGGCTTAGTTATTCTTTGTTATTTCCAAATGCCCATGATAACCACTCCAAACAGAAGAACTACTGCCATATCTGCATTACAATTCGAACCTCAGAGCCATAATACTGAATCATCAATAATTGGAAATTAGGTGATGGGTTTGTACATATGTATTTTAACAGGCCATGTCATAGTTCAGGCAGTTAGTCGCTGGCTTCCAACTGCGACAACCCAGCTTTGAGCCTGGGTCATGTATGTAGGATTTGTGGTGGACAAAGAGGCACTGGGGCAGGTTTTCTCTGAGTACTTTGGTTTCCTCTGCNCTCTTAACAATGAAATTGCACTGTAGTTATGAGGCCCAAGATGGATACACAGGTCCAACATATGACACATGCAAGACTGGCACAGACAGTTCAAAATGTGAATATATGCAGGCTTGGCAGTGAAAACGTTAACATATCACAGACTCAGCACCAACTTTCAGCAATATGCCACACATCAGCACACTTTCAGAACCGTAACAATCCTGCTGACACAAACCACACTGTGTCAACTGTACCTTGGCAGCGAGGTTATCTGCGGATGCTGCTTGCTCGGTGCTAGCTACCGATGTTTTGGAATGGTTCTCAGTTGCATCAGGTAGACTAGGAGTAGAGCTTGACTTTCGACTTGTCAGTACACTGGTGCCCCCACTCTTTGTTGAATCTGCAATGTTTTTGCTACCTTTGCCTGAAACCCAGCACAAATTAAAATAATGATAACTGATACACTCTGTATAGCAGCAATTATAAGTGGCAGGTTCTATACGACACTGAGACTTGGCTACCTGGCCGCACACACCACCTCCTGCTCCTATCCACAGTCAGGACACCCAGTATTTTGAGGTTCTGACAATGGCGACTATGAAGATAACCGTCAGCACTGATGTGACATGATGTCATTAGGTTTCTTAATGTTTTTATCAGATGGTTCTCAAGTTCTGTTGAAATAAATCTTACCAGATGAACCCCCAGATGACTTTCCGGTCCCAACAGATGTCCCAGGTGCTACTGCCTCTGAACCGCTGCTAGTGTCATATCCTGCAGCCAATTTAAGGTCATATTTCCCCTCCGCTCCCATTCGGTATGAATTGGAACCTCCATGATCCCACGTTACATCAATCCAGCCTAGGAAATAAAGGACAAAAACAGTTGAGAGAAACCACAATGGAATTAGAGTCTCACGACAATGTTATCAAACTCAAAACTCTTCTGTTTCCTGTTTCCTACCACAGACCTAATAGAGAACATTACAAAGATACTTTAAAGTTTAACTGACAATATATTGTGACACCAGCTAGGAAAGCAAAATACATCCAAGGCAGAGGGCTGATGCATCTGCTTGTAACATACAAGATTAAAACTTTCATGATAATATAAATCACTGAAGAATTCTTGTGTCAAAAAGAGTTTCCTAAACGTTGGAGTTATATTCACCGACAAGATGATTTAATGGAAAATCTAATCTCTGTGAAATATACAAGAAGAAAATGAACCATATTAAATTTACACAAAGTTTCAACAAAATTAATTTTCATGACTAATCTTCTGCCACAGTCAGTCACATACAATAGTAAGTTGTTAGCAAGTTAAACACCTGATACTTACTGAAATGGAACTATTCTTTTAATTTAAGCCCTTCAGTGCTAAAACTGAACATACACATGAAACTTACACAGCTTGGCCAAGCCTGCTTCTTAAATTCATGCCAAGAACTTAGTCTTCTTACAGAGAGAGAATTCTTCCCACATCACACATACCATTATGAAGTTCTCCAGTCACAGTGCCCTCGCCTGGCGGGTTCCCGTCCTGATCCCGCCACTTCCAGTCTAGTCCACGCACAACACGAGCACCAACTAACAGATGTTTCAGCACCTGCGTGCGCAGAAGTCGCCTTTGCCGCCGCAGGTTTGCCTCTGCCTCCTTTGCAGCTTTTCCTGCAGGTGGAGAATGGAACACTGCACACATTTGTTGTACAGCATTCACAGTTGCCAACACCACAGAAATAAATAAGAGTGTTTCTATTAATGAGTTATATGTCATCATTCTCCTCAGTATTAACTAACGAGATTTCTAAGCATCTTCTGGCTCTGGTTCTGAAATTTCATAACCTCCTTCCTTCAAGATTAACATGGAAAGAGACATCCAAGAACATCATTTTTGTGTGTCCTTCCTGATATCCGGTGCAACTGAATATTTGTATGACACAAAAGGGAGTCTGTGTGAATTACCAGCATCTAAACTACAAGGAAAAATAATGATGAAGAATGCAGTCTTCTGGGATGTGGCACCGTGTAGATGTGGTGTTAACAGACATTTCGGAGGAACGTATCGTCTCCATCTTCAGGGTAGAAGAATATGGAGGCAATATGTTCCTCTGAAACGTCGGTTAACATGACGTCTACATGGTGCCACATCCCAGAAGACTGCTTTCTTCATAGTCACCACTGTGAAAACCTCAAATCTTAAAAAAAAATGATGTTTTTCCTAAAATAACACTACCAATAGTTGCAAATGTTCCTTAAAGTTAACATTTACATAAAAAATCAATCTTTCTGCAAATCCTGTGTTTTTTTTTTGTTGTTTTGGGATGCTGTCAGTATACAGATTACAGAGCACTGCATGGTAGGACATCTGATGAACTGGGGAAGATCTAAATGGAAACAGTCGTGGCCTAATCAAGGGCCCATCGTTACACTAGCTGGGAAGGACTGAGGAAAACCACGAAAAACATCAAATCAATACAGGCTGACCCCGCTGAGACTTGAACCGAGCACATCCTGAATACATGCCAGCCTGTAGCCAGGCGCTATACAAATTGCACTACTGCAGCTCCTTTAAATAAAGAATTAGAATTAAAATTTTATTAACAGAGATGGAAGATAATAATTACGATGGTTTGGACATATAAAACGAATGGATAGATCACGGATGCAGAGAAAATATTACAATTAAAATGTTAAGCAATGAGGCCTATGGGATGATCTAACATAAGAACATGATGGTTTAACCAGGTGCAGAGAGAGAATACAGGCATGAAACAATTGAAAAGGAAAGACTGCAGAAATAAGAAAGGGGCTGGAGACTGTCTATCTATCTGCTCAAAATGTTAATAACATTATAGGAAATGAGTTCCATGAATAAAGCATGCACCTGTCTTTACCCTAGATATGGAAATAAAAATAGAGTGGGGCATAAGAAGTTGTGACTCTGCATACAGTGTAAGCCTTACCTAGATCTTCGCAGACTCCCGTCACGGTGCCATAGATCTCGAAGCCAGAGAGGCTGAGGTAGTGTGTTTGTCCGGAAGCATTCTTCCCAGTCTGCTGCAGGCGAATGTGACGCCAACCCTGAGCTTCCTCTGTTGGAGGTTCTAATGGCCAAGACGAGGTACTTCCTGGTTCGTTTAAGGAGCCGTCGTCTACATGAGTGTAAAGCGTGGTCCAGTTCAGACCATCTTTTGAAACCTGTTAGAACACAATACAATCAATCAGCTCAAAATACAATGAAACAATGGTGTGATAACATTAATGCTATGGTCTACCTAACATTCACAAAAGACTGTTTTGGGTTTCCTCATCCAAAGTTTCCACATATACAAAAACAAATATTCAATTTTTTTTCCTACTAGGCTGTAATATAGCTGTCTTTTTCTATAACGTGGTAATGAAAGTAATTCACCAAAGTGCATGGGGTCATGCAGCACACATGAGAGAAATGAGAATTATACACAAAATTTTAGTCCCAAAACATGAAGGGAAAAGACTATTTGGAAAAGCTAGGCATAATTGGAAGAATAAAATTAATATTAATCTTAAATAAATAGTGTGAGTGGATGAGGACTGCGTTCTTCGAGCTTAAGATAGAGACAAGTGACTGGTTCATGTGAAAATGTTGATAAATTCTGGATTCCACAAATGGTGGAGAGTTCAACCAGCTAAGAGGATATAACCTAGAGAAGTATTCTATTCCACAAAATGAGATACTTAGAGGCAAGTGCCCCAATTCAGTAGTTACTCCAGGATATTTACCTGGAACAGCCAGTTCCGGAGAGCTGACCGTCCGTATCCTCTAGCGTGCCTCAGTGTGTACGAGCTTGGTAACACCCACAGCCCAAGATCAATGGCAAACCATGCCCTCTTGTCGTCATTTGTGTGACAATTCAGTGCAGACGAATCACGGCTTAAGATGTCCTCCAAGCGTCCATAGGGTAAGTTGCGGCCATCGGAGGACGTTACCATCACCAGTCCATATTGTCCTGGATTGACCCATTCAGGTGAAGTTCTGAAACATCAAATCGCAATGAGATGCTACATGTTACAACAGATGACGAACTGTGATACAATTTTACCAACTGCAGCAGTTTTACTCGGTAATTTTAACTTACTTACAGCACCCCTTCTCTAAGAGTAATTAGCCAAGCTCCACACACCTCTCTAAATGGTGTTGGGTGTTATTATGAGCGTGCACATGTTGGTTGCAGGTAGTGAGCTCAGAATAGCTGTTGGTATAGTGATGGACTATGTGCTGGATGGCCAGGGTTCGATTCCGGAAAGGGGCACGATATTCTCTATCCCACAGCATCCAGACTGGCTGTGGTGCCCACCCAGCCTCCTATCCACTGAATAAAATCAGCTAGAGAGTGAAGCCTGACCACTCACTCCAATCTAGTGCCGAAGTCAAAAATGGAGGAGCTATACAACCACTTTTCCCTGTATATCTTCATGGCATGGTGCTTAATTAAGCACAAGGCAAACTTTACCTTTACTAATTCTGCCACAAGGTGGACTTGCCAACAACAATAGTCTCGCAAGCCCATTTTAACAAAAACTGCTATTAAAGAAGAGCTTCTTGCAATCTACATTTTGTGTTTTTTTTAATACCGGATGCTATGACTGGACAGTACACACGCAGAATGGAGCCCCTACTAGATGAAAACAAACAAACAAACTTACAGTTCTGTATAGTTTAATTTTCAGGTCTTTATAGAGAATGCAGAAGCATGCATGGTTCAGTCAATACACCAATACACTATGAGCAGGACAACCAAGGAACTGGGGCTGGATTCCCAACACAGCTGACAAATTTTTCTCTTAAATATAGCATCCACAACAACTCCAAGGTACATTCAACCTCCTACCCAATGCGTACAGGGGCTCTTTACTCAGACGTAAAGCAGTAAGGGTGTGAAATTCACTCACCTCCATCCAGTTCTGAGGTTACACACGTCTAAAACTATCCTCCATTGCCACCATACATATTCATGGTGTGGAGCTTAATTAATACAGAAAGTGCATAAACACTGGTGAACTCACTTTGCATTGGTCCCTATCCAATAAATTATCCCATTTTCATCAAAGTCGTGCTGATGCCTGAACGTCAATTTCTGTCCTTCTTTCAATTTTCGCACGAAGGCAAACGTTGAGCGTTCATAGTCATACCACTGTTTTGCTACCATCTTCAATAAGTAACGTTCCAACTGTGCGACAGTGCTGAGAGGTTCCATCTTAAGGCTGCGACCTGTGCGGTCTATTAACGAACAACCTTCAGCCTTTTCTAGCCTGAACCTTAACCGTCTGGTCAAGATCTGTAACAGAAAACATAACCATCCTCTTGGCATCTATCTACTACAATAAAATGTAGCGTTATATTCATAGCCAACTACTATTATACTTAAAAGAGGTCAGTATTTCGGGCACAAACTACAAGGCCATAAGACATTTCCCTCTAATATCTCATTACCTGCAAGCCATATCCAGAGCCTGGGGTATCGTACAGATACACCGGAAGTTTCTCGATTGACTCCAGGACAGAGACCAGCTTGTGCACCAGAATAGGTGCAGATTTCACACCACCACTCTCACCATCCTTCTCCTGCAAAACACATTCAACATTAGCGACTGGGTTCTACATGCTCTGATCACTGAATTTTTAACTGATCACATGGTACCTCCTCTGGGTTATTTAGAGTTATTCGCTGCTGTGGAAAGGATGGTTCATCAGTACTGATGGAATGTCTCCTAAGTCATTTCACATCACAACCTCGACAATATATTTTGACATGTGCCTTTCCAGGTGGGGCTTCAGCCTGACGGGACAGGGAAGGGTGGGGGGCAATAAAGACCTTATATAACACCTACTGGCAAGGCAAATATAACCACATTATCCTTGAAGTATTAAAGATAATGGAAGGTAGTCCTCGGCAGTGTAAACTCAGTGATACTGTGGAAGAAATTTTGAAGGCCAGAGTTCATTAAGAATGAAGTCTCAAGGTTCAGAAATTCTGCAGATATATGGAACTGGTACAAAACATGTTAATACCAGCACCAATCAAAGTGGTCTCCTCCACACAGACTTTCAAATGAGAAGTTCGTATTCATTTCTTGTTTCCACCATGCATGCTACATATTCTGCTCATCTTCTGTTTTTATTTTACCATCATGACAATACAAGACAGAGCTTGCCTACAAAATAGAATGGTCTAAAACAGATGCAGACACTACACCAAAACTAGCAACAAAGTCACAATATGACTACTGATAGTATCTATTATGACATACAAGAGGTACATTAAGGGAGGAACATATACTGAGGGTGTTGAGAATATTTGGACCGAAGAGAGATTAAGTGACAGGAGGTTGGCGAAAACTGCATAATGAGGAGCTTCATAACTTGTACTCTTCTCCAAGTATAATTAGAATGATCAAGTCAAGGAGGATGAGGTGGACAGGGCATGTAGCACGAATAGGGGAGACAAGGAATGCGTATAGGATTTTGGTGGGAAAGCCAGAAGGAAAGAGACCACTGGGAAGACCAAGGCATAGGTGGGTGGACAATATTAAAATGGATCTTAGAGAGATAGAATGCGATGGATTGGATTGATTTGGCTCATGACAGGGATCAGTGGAGGGCTCTTGTGAACACGGTAATGAACCTTCGGGTTCCATAAAATTCTGGGAAGTTCTTGAGTAGCTGCAGAATTGGTGACTCCTCCAGAAGGGCTCAGATCCACGAGTGAGTAAGTCAGACACAGCAATAACAACATGTACGACATTATTTTCCTCATGGAATTACCAGAACAGATCAGAAATGCTTCAAAACAAAGCACCTGGAAAAATATACAGACTTAATAATAATGAGATGAACTGTACGGAATATATGAAAATGAATGCAACTATTTATGTTGTAGCATACAGACCCATTGCTAAGTGGTGACTCTGTCGCCCGCAACAATAGAAGAACAGTGTTTTTCATGTTTCGAGTTTAGTCAGTTGAGTCAGTTCTGTACAGCAGTCTGCAAGGAAAAGTGGCAGCTGGAAGTGAGCTGCCATTCAGAGAGAACTTGAACATGTGAAGTTCAAAAATCTCCAATGTTAGAAGCAGTTGCCAGGAAATGGCTGGTGAAGACACAGCAGGCTGGAAAAGACTTAGTGGGTGCTGTAATTACTTGTAATTGCTGTGCATATAAGTGGTCAGTAAATCCAACATCCAATCCATACCTCATCTAGTCACATTCACATTACGATATGTATAAAATATATGAATCTAATAATAATGAGACAAACAGTACAGACTATATGACAAGAAAAGCAACAACTTATATGCATTGCACGATACTGTTAGGACAGTGAAACGAAGCAGGCAGAACTGCAGTTCAGAGTTCATCTGGTCATGAAACACACAGAACTATAGCGGGGGGGGGGGGNGGTCAGAATCATGTCCAATCAAGTTTAAGTAAGAGGTTCTGTTCACCTTGAAGCAGCTCTTGAAGACTCGAACTCTCTGCTTCTGCAGCTTGCTACTCTTGTTGCTATGCAAGCCCTCGTCCCAACAGCTGGTCGACAGGAGCGACAGCAAAGCCTGCACAAGTCCACTGCTATGAAGTTCGTATGCAGACACTACTCCCTCCTCTTGAAGTAGCTGCGTCAGCTCTTCGAGGGCTCCTTGCAGGATTTCACGCCACACAGTGAAACTCTCTCGGTTGTTCATGTGCTGTAAAAATTCTCAGATTTACAGAGTGCTCATGCATGAGGTTGACCATACTCTAGCATCTTTTTAACGTTTTTCTAAGTATTTCTCACTTATAACATTTTCACGGTCATTAAGAGCAGGTAGGCACAAATCTCAGGCACTGGATAGCATAAAATTTTCATGACAGCACTCAGAGTTTTCTGTATAGTGACTACGTTAAGGGTCGTGTGATCAAGGAGTCTCAAACTTTAGGAGTGTAACATTTTAAATGAAAGTCATGCTACATGTGTTCCCTTGCTCCCTTACTTGTTTCTGGCAGGCCCGTTCAATCTGCGCTACAATGTTGCCAAGTTTGGCGACAACTCCTCGAGGTTGAGCCTGTGCAGCTTTGAAATACTTTTCATAAATTTCTTGAGCTTGAACTTTCACCTGCAACAGAAATATTGGTATCATTCTCTACTGGACAATTAACTCAGACATCGGCACGCTCTGCAAAATTAACACAACTCTCACCTTTTGCTTCATGGCTTCTATCTTGGAACGGAGCCGCTTGCCACGTTTACCAGTCCATCCAGCTGCAAACTCTGGTCCTAATGAAGTCTCAGCAGTGAAAGAGTGTTTCGTACCACGATTAGATTCAAATATGAATCCAGGGAGATCCTCACGCAAAATTGTTGCTTGCTACAAGGAGAAAGGAACCACAGGATGCTTTTATTCTTTGGAAAATTAAGAAAAAAATGAAATAATATTCATGCAGAATCCTTATTTACTATGTCTTCTTGAAACCTGCAGTTTTTTCAACGCTGCATGTCATAATTCGATTGTGAGTGCAAGAAGGAAAGCAACTAGCAAAAAATACATTCCATGTAGCATGAGATAAGCTGCTGATATGGTGAAATAAAATTACAATGATAGACCTGGACTTGTTCAAACTTTATACCAGTTTCAAATCAACATTATTAAAATGTTCCAAACAACCGATTCTTATATTAAATGAAACTGCTTCAACTTGAGACAGCATACAACATCATTTGGACCGGAGAATGAATGGTCTGTCTGAAGATACATACTAACAAAAATCGCAAAATGCATAAACTGGATAACTGAGAGTGAGATCAAGATTTGAACCGGGTACCTCCAAAAATGGAACTGTATGCATATTATCAGTACACTAATCTGAAAGGATACTGAGAGAAAAAAATGAGGGAAAGAACAGATGAAGATGGAAACTGGAAGAAATAAGAGTGAAAGGAATCCATGAAGACAGAAAAACAACAAGATACCATTAGGATCACTAAGACCTGGACTATGTCCACTCATATTCCGAGAGAATATGTTTTGGAAACAGAACCAGTTTCCAAATCATAATCTTTTAGAACACTATATGATGAACAAAGTCCAGAAACTCAGCACAGCAAATTCAAACTCTATTGATTATTCTCAGTAATGGATAGGAGAAGCAGCAAAAATAATAAAAAATATAAATCAAAATAAAGTCATATAATGAATTCTGAGTGAAATCAAACGTGAGCCTACCATCCCAACAGGAGAAAGCAACTCTTGTTAAATGGTAGTACACTAACCCGAAAAGAAATAAAAGTATAAAGGAGGAAGATGTGACAGTGACAAAATGTACAGTGCATTGCCAACTGTTGTTAAGGCATCACTGGTATATATTAATGGAAAACATGTAAATCATTACAAGAAGCTATAATCAATAACTAACGGATTGTAAAAGTTCTGTACTTAACCTGCGAAGAGGATAAGATCCAGAAGTTTGTGACAATGGTATATTGCTACATGTATTGTTTTTGGACACTATCCATCGTCTTGTCTATTTTTTAAAAACCAACCTATTTCTTTTTTCAAAACACAACGTTTCGGGGGACTGGATTCTGTCCCTGTCCTCAGGTAAACCCTACTCAGTTGGGTCCAATAGATAGAGCTGGCCCCTATCTCCGGAGATAGGTTTTACCCAAGGACGGGGACAGAAAGCAGTCTCTGAAACATTGTGTTTTTAAAAAAGAAACAGGACGTCTTTAAAAAAAAAGACACGACGATTGATAATGTCCAGAAACATAATACTTGTAGCTGTGAAGAGGATAATTGAGAGTTTACCATAATCCTAAATGTAACACACCATAGCCTGAACCCGTCAGAATGGATGAAAGTATGTTATTTATTTCAAGTAGTAATTCAAAAGAGAAGCAAGCTACTCTGGCACATATTACTACCTGCTGTCCATCAGAGTTGTGGATATGTAGCTCTCCATCTTTGCGACTCGCCAGCGCCCAGTTTCCCACGACTAGTCTAGCTGGGCCAGGGCGAGAGAGAATTGGCTGACTAGGGGTGTTGGGTTTTACTTGTGCCCGAGCTCGCTGGAGTTTTTCTAAGAACTCTCCTCGGTTTTCTGTAACAGAAATGACAATATCACTAAAATAAAATATCAAATCAACTTTAAAAATACAGTGAAATTCAAGTTAACTAACAAATGTGACTAATTCTGAATGTAAGAATCGTGTGAATAAAATGAACTCCAGAACAGAAACAAAATTCCGTAAAACATATTTCTCAGAACCACATAATTTACAGACATTACTCTCATCTTCCAGGTCACAGTAACACAAGGTCTTTCTAAATTAGGCCACATCTTTCAACAATCAGCGAGGAGGGAAGCCATGTTCCACACTAGTCGCAGAGTGAACAAACGAAGCCACATCTGACCATGGAACACAAGCATCATACAGACCTCTCCTGGTGCACATTGGTCAGCCAGGGCTGTCTGGTTTGCCTCGTCTGCCACAGCAGACTGTCTCCTGTTGCGGGCTGCATCACCCATCAAGTGGATTGCCCCCACCCTCCCAAACCTTTGAAGAACAGCAGGTAAGAGTGTTGCAGCTGTTCCCAAGGAGAGTACGGGAGAGATGAATCTCGTGTGCGTTATGAGAGGACATGGAACAGAACTGTGCAAAACTGGAGACTGCACCATTAAAAGTACAGTATGTAAAGTAAAGCTATCCCTGTAAGAGGCTGTGGAGGCCCATAGGGTTGTGAGACATTGAGGTTCCCACATTTTCTAGACAGTCAGCTCAAAGATGGTGGTAAGGCTGTCAGCCTTACGCGCCGGCTGCGCTTTACTCCCCTGGAAAATTATTTAATTAATTCCTGGTACTCATTTCTGTTAGAAGCTGAGTTGACCTCAGGGCCATAGTGTGGCTGGTAGGATTAGGTCAATTGATAAAAATCCAATGACCTCATCGGTACTTGAACCTGTGACCTTCTGGCTTGTAGCACAGCCCCTCAACCAACTACGCTACCGCGTGCCCCGGAGACTGCACCATGCTGTCTCTAAAACATCTCTGAGGCTGCATGATGTAGATCATCAAATCATCATCTGCATGTTACACAATTGGAATGATACTCACTATACTGCAGATCTCATAACACAGGACTTTTCTTCTGTTAGGTGTGAAGTGCCCTCAGAGATGTTTTACATAGACAATAACTCAGAAAGACCTTGCATGTAACTAGTTCCAGTGATTATTTTGGCACATTCTTGCCATTCTTTGTTCCAAATCAGTGTTCATTTCTTTAAAAAAAAAAAAAAGCATATGTGATTTAAATCACAGACTGTTTACAGTTCAGAAGAGAGAACTACATTTGTGCTATTCTACATTCACCCAACTCCAAGGCTATTGGTTCAGTTCCCCAACTGACTACTGGCTCATATTTTTAGCAGCTTATACTATGAAAGCAATAAGCCTTGCCCAAACACCGTAGGGTTAGTTCACTTGCACGCTTGTTACAGAAAAACTCTGATAGCATGAGTGTTATACATGATTTGCATGAAGCACAAAAACTGAAGATTTAAAGTTTCTGACAATGGCACATTAGTACAAATATGTTTCTTTTCTGTTCTGTATTGATCATCCTGTTCTCACCTAAAACACCATTCGGAGATAGGGGCCAGCTCTATTGTTTGGGCCCAACTGAGTATGTTTTACATGAAGATGAAGACAGAATCCAGTCTCCAAAATGCTGTGTTTTCAAATATAAATGGATGGTTTTTTAGATAAAAACAGGATGAGGTCCAGAGGTATGGACTAGCTTTATCCATCAGGTCCAACTGAACAGGTCTTACATGAAGCCAGAGACAGAATCCAGTCTCCAAAATGATTCGCTTTCAATAAAGAGGATATGTTTTAGATAAAAACAGAATGCCGGATAATGTCCAGAAACATAATGTGTGTACATGAACAGAAGGCTGGTTTTTATTGCATATAATTCAGTTAACGTGTTAAAAAATGGTAGGACCTTCCAAAATGTTTCATTTTAAACATGTTCTGTTTATCTTATTAACATTTATTCATGGCAATTCACATAAGAAATTCTTCCTCCTCCTTTGTTTTCACTTTTAAGTGGGCAGACTAGCAGCCAATCAGGCCTCTACATCTATCTCTGTCTTCTCAGAGCCTCTCTTCCTCTGTTGCCTCCCATATAATGTGCAGGGAAGCTTAGAACAAAACTTTGTTATATTACAGTGTCCAATTGGTAAACATGCAATCTTTATTAGGTGTGTTTGAGCCTCAAAGTCAGTTTATACATACAAAGAGTCTCTTTCAAGTTCCCTTAAATATCGGCAATGGCAACAGACATACCCTCACAGCTATTCAGACTACTTGTCATTGCTTATATAAACAGAAAACAAAAACATATATGAGAAATACAATGATAACAAGAAATTAACCCCTTCAGGTCCTCTGTCATACTCAGAACAAGTTACACTCCAGTAACAATTCAGACTAATCCTGAAGTTAATTCAACAACCTTTAACTTACCACATTTATCCACGTATAAGATGCACATCATCAGAGCTAAATCCATAAAAAGTATTTTTTGATGAATATAAAGTATTTTTGTTAAAAACTCATTTTTACAATATAATGATAATATGAGCAGCTTCAAATGCTTGAGGAGGAGAGTAATGAGAAATGGAAGAGCACATGGAAAAATTATGGGGCAAATTAAAAAAAGGCTGAAGAATTTTACCAGTCAGTCAGGGATCTACTTCTGAAATTGGAAACGTCAAAGACAGAACAGATACATTTATTTAAAAGTTACCATATGGTCATATGGACCACAAATGAGTGTATACATAAAGCCATATATTAGTAGACTAATGGTAAGAGAATGAGATTTTTAAGAAGTACAGAAGGAAAGACCAAGCGAGAGACAAAGAATAAATAAATCGAAAAAAAAAATTAGAGTATTTAAAAATAAATACAATGAGAGATAAATTAATAAATAATGGAATAAGATGACATGGGCATGTTTTAATAATGTGTGAAGAAAGAATCCCAAAAGAATGTTCTGAACATGAAACTAAAAGGAAAAAAACATAAGAGGCAGACGAACATCAAGACAGGAATAACAGGCTAGGAAAGATGTCACATGGAAGGAAACTAAGGTAAACAGCTTTGGAAAGATAATTGGGGAGGCTTGCCTGGCAGACAACTGATAAAGAAGTGAAAATACTGGAGGATGAAAGGAGCAGATTTTTTTAGTTGTTTATTTAATGATGTGTAATGAGTTTATACGGTGTCAGGAAGAGGTTACATGTAAATTAACACTGATAAATATGAGCATTTACTTAATAATTGCAACATTATTTTTCATCTCCACCTCATATGCATTTTTACCAAGAGAAAAATAAATTCTGGCCCTTTTGAAGCCACCACAACCCTTCAGTGTAAAAAACTTGGGGCAATTTAAGTGGGAGGGGGACAAGCGGGAGAAGTGCATCTTATACACTGGTAAATATGGTAAAAACAATGTTCTGAAATTGGTCCTCATAATTTTTCACGTGTTTATACAAACAGACCCCAAAGAAGACTCCTGTTGGTTTCAGTCGGGATTCACAAAATCACTTTACCTTTTACTGCAAAACTGAATCCACCAGTTCTGATATTTCATATACAACATGATATCTCATGGATTTATGTCAGTAAATCATAAACTTTTCCGTGAGATCATTCCCAGTTAGAAACGTCACATGAACACAGGTCCCATTCTCAATGGTTATGGAGCTATGAGTATTTGAAATTCAAGAATGATTTATATACCACTAAGCCAGGACAACAGGATACAGACATGTCAATGCCTGGTCAAGAATAAGCACCAAACACCCATAGATCACTGGTGCGCCCTGCTCCCAAGTCCCAGCCTGCTATATTCCTGTGTGGGGGGGGTCACACGAGAGAAATGGCATATGAAAATAACGCGGATATGAGAGATGAACTAAACTGTGTAAAATCAGATGTTACAATATGCATGAATGGTTGCAGCTCTTGGCAAAGTTACACGTTCAACAGACACACAAATCAGAGTGTGTTCATCTGAGCTAAGTTTGCCATTTCAAATTGTTATTGTAAAGGGAATTGTACAATATAACAACTGATGAACGAAAATGTCGTGGTTATATGTACACCATTCCTGAACTCCATATACATGTGCCATAGCTCTATGTCCACCGAGCAACGAACCCACAACAAGTAATGTCATATAAGATGTGTATTTAAATTTATTATTTAATGGCACTATCAGTAGATACCAATGGGTGTCAAACTTGGTCTCTGATATTAAGAGAGGAACACAGACTGAGGGTGTTTGAGAACAGGGTGCTGAGGAGATATCTGGACTGAAGAGAGATGAAGTGACAGGAGGTTGGAGAAAACTGCATAATGAGGAGCTTCATAACTTGTACTCTTCACCAAGTATAATTAGAATGATAAAGTCAAGGAGGATGAGGTGGGCAGGTCATGTAGCACGAATGGGGGAGACGAGGAATGCGTATAGGATATTGGTGGGAAAGCCAGAAGGAAAGAGACCACAGGGAAGACCAAGGCATAGGTGGGTGGACACTATTAGAATGGATCTTAGAGACACAGGATGGGTTGGTATGTATTGGATAGATCTGGCTCAGGATAGGGACCAGTGGAGGGCTCTTGTGAACACGGTAATGAACCTTCGGGTTCCATAAAATGCTGGGAAATTCTTGAATAGCTGCAGAATTGGCAGCTCCTCCAGAAGGGCTCAGCTAGATGAGTAAGTAAGTAAGTAAGTAAGTAAGTAAGTAAGTAAGTAAGTAAGTAAATATCAGTCGGTGGAACTGTAACTGGTAGAAGAAACTGAAGTACCTGGAGAAAATCTGCCCCAATGCCACTTTGTTCACCACAAGCTCCATATGACCAGAACTGGGAATGAACCCAGGTCACCATGGTGGGAAGCCAGCAACTAACTACCTGGGCTATGGCATGGCCAATTTTGGGATGCGACCCCTTGCACTGTGATAGAAGTTTATTAATGTTTTGGAGGAATACGCTTCCGTCACACTGCATGCCGACTGCTTGATTTCTGTTCCCTGGACACATCAGCATATATATCAGGCTACATGGCTTTAGAATCCCAGAAGGTATGAGTTTTCATAGTTACCACTGTGATGACCTCAAATATCACAACTGACGCAATGTTCATATGACTTTCTGGCTGTGAACAGCCCCACAAATAAGCTCCTGATGTACCCAGTAACTTCTGGAAATACTCTGCAGGCCTGGTAAGGGCACTGGGGTACACACTGTGTGTGTGTGTCTCAGTTGTACTGTATTTATGGCTTTTGTATTTGTATGACTTGTTCCACATCCTACAGTCATTCTGACTTACTTTGGATCTACGGAATGGAATGTATGTATGTACTTAACGGTTAAGGGAAACCAAAATACAAAACATAAAAGCTAGGAAGAGGATGAAACACACACGTGGTGTACTTACCACCCACTACAGTTTAGTGCACTAATCCAATTATGTCTCCATAACCAATTCTAGTATGCATATGTTTCAATTTTAGCTCTAGCACAAATTTTTATAGTAGTTTTAAAATTTCTCTTACCTTCTGTGGTAAGAGTTTCTGTATTTCTTCCTTTCCCTATTAAAAAAAGGGGGCAATGCGTCAATATTTATTCACAGGTCAGTGCTAGGAACGCAAAACACATAACACAAATTAAATACTTCGTAACAACAAGGATATGGGAACACATTTGGTCTGGGCAATTTCAATGTTAGGCTTCTCATCACCAGATTTTTTTCTGTTTATAACAATGACAGTCACGAATATACAACAATATAGAACATACTAACATTTCATCCAGTGGCACAGCACGAGCCTTCAGTACATAGAACGGCAAATGTGATTCGTATGAAACACCAAACCCTACAAGTGTCAAGTACTCAAAATTTCAATTTTTACAAAAATTGTTGTATCTGACAGCATGTGACATCTGTTGGTAGTTTATCTGAATTACATAGTCAAGAAACATTTTCAGAGAATTCTCTGTAGACTTCTTGTCCATCTACAAAATTTCATCATCCTAAATGATGTATAAATATAAAACCAATGACAAATTATAATAATTTCAGTTAATTATTGTGACTATTTCAAAGTATATAATTTTCTTAGCTCTTAATAGATGTCACTTGTTGACGATTCTGTAGAAAGTTTTTTGTCCATGTCAAACAAGATCATCACATTACATATAAACACAGGAAACTGGACTTCCAAGAATTCAAACACAATTCAACCCCAAGCTGCTACTAACTGAAGAAGTGTGGAGAGACACATCCCTTCAAATGGGCTTGTTTGTATCAACCCCTAATAAGAGATAAGTACGAGGTATGGCAGAATGAGAAGAGGGCAAGGCACCTGCCCCAGTGCTATTCTGGCCAAATACAAACCTCACACAAACTACACTCGTACTGAATCCAGGGCTCCACAGTAGCTTCAAACTTCAAAGCATTATGGCAACAAAGAATGCAAATAATTTCTAAAAACATTTGAGTGTTTTTAACAAAATAACACTCCCTCAAACAATGCAAGTCAACATTGTTGATAGAGGCCGGTAGTGGAAAAACCAACGAACATGACTGCATTAAGGAGCACAGAAAGAACAGATCAGATGTAACAAAGAGTAGATGTCTCTGTAACTTCTCCATTGAGAACTATTCTACAAAATGTCTGACAGAGGCATAAATTTATTTTCCCAAAATCATTGTTTCTCTTTGAGGGTACAACATAGTGCATTTTATACCCAACATTGTGTTTTAGCTTTTTCAACAGTGAAGGACTTCAAATTGGAGACAATACAATTAACAGGAAGAAAATCCAAAGAAATAAAGTAACGACTGCAACACATTTCATTACCACTCCAAGGACTGCATAAAAAACCATGCTTGATTAGATTCTTCTAAGGTATGACACCGTGTAGTTTGGTAGATAGAAATCAGTGTTTAAAGAGGAACCTGATGCCTCAAACTTAAGAGCAGAAGATGAAGATTGTTCTATCCTGAAGATGGAAACAGTAGGTTCCTCTGAAACAATAATTTCTATACAGGGTGTTTCACAACTTTAGGGCATAACTGCAGGAGGTGATTTCCTAGGTCTTTGTGATCAAAAAAGTTCATATAAACATGTGACCGATTTTGGACGGTTATGGAGTTATGACCGTTTTAAACTCAGAATAGAAGGTAACGATTACTGACAATAAACGAAACAAAATAATAAAGCAGCATAATACATGATACATTTAAAGTATGAATGTAAAGTTAACTTTGTGAAATTACCTCTAATTTGAACTGAATGGTGCTTAAAGCTGATTTTTGAAAATGCCACCGCTGGCCACAACACAGGTTGCCACTCGGTTTTGAACCACACGGGTACATACCAACCCACCATGCTTTAGGTACCTCTCAAGTGTCGAGATAACGAGAACGCTCTGTCTGCAGCTGGCTAAAAACAGCGACCTGTCTGATGATAAGACGCGGTTCACACAAGGGCGTGCACGGGAATAAAAAAATGGTCATTAACTCCGTAACCATCCAAAATCGGACACATGTTTATGTGAACTTTTTTGACCACAAAGACCTAGGAAATCGCCTTTTGCAGTTATGCCCTAAAGTCGTGAAACACCCTGTATATCAAACTACATGGTGTCACATTCGAGAAAACTTTAATATTCAATGTCATGAGAATCTCAAATACCACTGCTGCTTATGTATCAGACACACACTGCAATGGAGTCCCATACAAAAAAAAAAGATTTTTAGTTACGGTGAAAACTTGGGTTTTTATAAAATCAAATGAGATGATTATGAATGGTGGTAATGTATGGATCAGGAAGGGACAGCTGTGGCCCATCTGAAGTCATTACTGTCATTTGCCTGGAGAAACTAAAAAATAACATTAACAAACCTCAGGCTAGCCAAGATGTGAACCTGCTATCTTAAAATAAAATTGTAGAACAATGCCATTAAATAAAACTGATGCTCTATTTATAACTAGTGAAATTATGATCTGTTAATTTTTGACGCACAATTAATGCACAAGCAAACGTGATGCATACAAATTGTTAACAGAAAGTAAATCAACACAGGCTTGGTAATCAGTGGCTTATGCCATAGAACTAAGTTTTATTTATACATGCCACACAGAGCAGCGGCAACACTTACCTGAGCTATCCGTTCCTCCTTCTGGGCTTCCACTCGAGTACATCGTCGCGAGCTTCCCGTCAAGAATAAATCTAAACCATCCATTGCTACCATTAGACAGCTCAAGGGCTGCTGCATCTGACCAGATGTAGAGACAGTCACGGCCGCGACATATGCACCAGTCTCGCCAGTGGTAAGCTTTACCAGGTAACATGTCGTTAGCATCGTCTAGCAATGGTTCCTGCTCATTTTCTTCCTGAAAGCAATCATCACATTCTTGTGACTTTCACACTTGTAACAGCCCCAAAAATCACAGCGTATCCTATGTACTGATGTGTCTCACAAGTGGGGTGCAATGCTGCAAGTCGAGGCACATAAATATTAGAACCAAGCTTAGCAAGTAATTTATAAATAAATATATAACCAAATAAAATAATTTTGATGTTGATTCTTTTTTTAGGCTGTTGCCCTGTGTGATTATGGGCAATAATGCCAAAGTTTCTGAGGTACATGCTGCCTCCATCTTCAGTGTGTAGGCCAGGGAGTTACAGTGTATAATACAGCATTCTGTTTGCTGGAAAAAAAAAAATTTTGATTTCCCTTTCCTAAACTCATACAAATAATATCAATGGGACACAGTCCTGTTGGGTCTATCCCCAGGGTATCTTGCCGACAACCTAATCCTTGACACCAACAATCTGCATACAGTTTTTGTCGCCTCCATCCAAGATATACGACCAGCCCACTGATATTATCCTGACCTGACTACTCAAAAATTGCCAAAGGAATCTTATAGCAAGTTCCTGAATTTTCTGTTGCAACCTAGAAATCAATTTCTATCTTTCATTTGTGAGGTGATGGCAACACTAGTGCCTCTTAATTTATAATACTCAATGTATGATACCAATGCTTGGAAGAACAGGAAATTTTTTGGAGGTACCTCTATTTTTTTTGAGGGGTGAGAATTTAGTAACACGTAAAATAACAACATGTCAGGCATGAAAAATTATTCTTTTCAATTTTACGGCAATAACCAATGAACCACTAGTGCTAGGCATGTGACATTTGGTATGCAGTTAAATGCATATATTGACTGCATTGTTATTATATTGATTGCAAAAATGCGAAACTTTGAGGTTATGCCCAACAAATTTAATGCAGACGGAGTTCATACTTAAGTAATAAATTCTCCAAGTAAATAAAATACAACAACAGTTACACTAGTTGAGCTGCGGGATTACACAACAAGAAGAGCTGGCTTTATGATTGATTTGCTTGGTATTTCATTTATACTCTCCCACTGCTAGACTCAGTAAACAAGAGCACAAGGTACAGCTATCCCTGCGCTTAATAAGTTAAGCACTATGTCATGAAGACATATGGCGGGAGTGAAGGTATAGCATCACCTTTCTTGACCTCAGCACTAGATAGAGGTGAGTGGTCAGCTTCACATTTTTGCTGTTTACCTCTGGGCAAAGGTAGCCCAGTACCCAACATATAGGAGGCTAGGTGGCCCCAGAAGCATTATGGCACTGTGAAGAAAGAAATCTTACACTGACAGGAATCAAACCCAGGCCATCCAGCCCACAGCCCGTCACTATATTGACTGAGCTATCCTGCCTCCAATCCAGAGTTTACTTTAATTGAATAATTTTTTATAATAGAATTGACTTACATTTTCATCTTTCTTGTTGCTTTGTGACTCTTGGCTATCCTGAGGTCCCGCCAACTGCAGCACTTTTGAAAATACACCCAATCGAGCAAAGTGGTCCAGGAAGATATCCTGTGCCTTAGTCATGAGATCCTGAATTATCTGCAGCACCACTAGGTGGCCATCTTCATCCTCCTGTATTAAAGTATGATAATTAAAAGCCCAGATAAGAACAAAATATCACTGACTAAAACCACACACAGTTTGGGCTGGTTTCACACTCTGACAGTTCACTTCAATTCGCTAATACATTAAAAACTTTCACTTCATCTGATACTTCCAACAAAATCTATAACTTACTGGTTTGTGGGTTAATTAATGGTACTTTATCAATTACAGAGTGTATTTAACATCAAAACTTTATAAAAAAATCATTCATTCAAAGATTATTCTCCTAAACAGCTTGTTACAATTGTGTACATCTGTTTCATTAACAACCATAAAAATAAAATTTGTAAGACTATACAGAAGCATGAGCACAAAGCAGGAACATTCTTAGCTGGGCCTGAAAATATCTCTCATTCCGAGGGAAAGTCAGAGGATGACACTGTGACATCTGAGGCTATTACAGCAGTATCAAAAATTATGATCTTCTGGGATATGATACCATATAGTTTGGTAGAAAGATACTAGCAAGAAAAACCTGCTACATCCTTATATTAGTTTAATTCTGGGTGAAAGATGGGTGCAACAGCTTCCTCAGAAATGTACGTACCCACCTACCAAACCTACACAGCATCACACCCCAGAAGACTGTAATCTTGTGAGACTGAGCATTTGAGAATGGAGAAATTTGGATTCAAGAGATGAAGGAACAAGGGCATAAAAAGATGTGCATTATGAAGAACATTTACAACTTTCACCCTTCGTCTAATACTGACAGGCTGACAGAAGCAACGAGGAGGAAACAGCCAGGACAAGCACTACTTACATAAAAACAAATGTACACAAGATCACAAAAGGTGTAGTACATGATGTAATACACATAATTACTAACGGTGGTCTCTGAAGTTCATTAATTGTATTTTAAAAATGTGAATAATTAATTGCAAATTAGTCATGAAAGTCTTCCATATAAAATTTCAACAAAACCCTGCTGAAGTTCTTATGGAATATAAGGAAAAGTCCATTTATGGCCATACTGTTGCCTAAGTTGTGAAGTGCTCCACCTCCATTTTAGGGCAAAAAAGAGGCAAGACACTTCTCTAATTCTCCATTTTGTTTTGTGCTATCCGCACACAATGCCACAGGTTTACCTTACTTGTAGGAGTGAGATTTCAGAATATGTTTTGGTCTAAGTCACATTTAAACTGCAGTTATTCCCTAACTTCAAACAAAGTTTCCTGAAAATTGGTATCCACAGACACAGTACACTCCGATACTCAGACCATGAATTGCAAATCAGGATTTATTATACCTCATATGACAGAAACGTGCAAGTGTTCAACACACTTTAGAGTCTCACAGAATTAATTTCAAAAAACCTGTCCACTGGTTTGGGATCTATACTAGGTCACAGAGAGAGACATAACCTTCACATAAGTTGCTCTTTTATTTTATTAAGAACGCCTAAAAATTATACTTTGTAGTCAGGGAAATAAGGTGACAGCTGGACAGACACATGATCCTGTATTATTATACAAGATGGAACACTTCTGAAGGGAAACATGCCACTGGATACTATGGCAAGCTCCAATTTTCTGTTACTTGGTGCTATGGAAGGCCAAATGAAGGCAGAAATACTGTAAATGTTCAAACAGTTAGGTCACTATTTATGATCTCAGTGCTAGAGCTTGGCCAAGAGCCCAGAGAAGCATTCCAGCCTTCACATTTAAGCCAACATTTATGGCATTATAATAATGTACTAACCAACTCCATGGCCTGTAGTCCGCAAGCGAAGTATACCAACTGAGCGACTGCCGATTGTCGGCGAAGTTAGTGCCACGTGTTAGAGGGTGTCACGTGGTCAGCGCAACGAATCCCCATGGCCATTAATCTCGGTTTTATAGACCGGAACCACTATTTCCTTGACATAGCTCCTCAGTTATACGCATGAGGCTGAGTAGACCCTGTTCCAGACCCACTACTTCTCACAAAATCTGGTAGCGCCAGGAATCGAACCCAGGACCTCTGGATCTGTAGCCAGGAACTCTGACCACTAGACCACAGAGGCGGTATAGGTTTCTGAGATTTTTAAACATTTCAATTAAATTCACAGGCATCTAAGTTTCTCATACTGGTAAATATGGAAATTGCTACCATATGGGATGTGACACTATGTAACGTGGTAGGAAAGTACCTGCTCCTATCTTCAGGATATTTCTCAACCCTGAAGCAGCAACAGGTTCCTATGAAATGTCGGTACTTCTCTACTATGTCATACAGAATCATTGTAGCCTTTATAATGCAAATTCTATTTGCACTAAATTATTGTGGGGGGTGGGGGGAAGCCAACAAACTGCACTCTTCTGCCAACGAATGGTACATTCAATGTTCCTCGATTTAAGGCTTTCCTTCACGCAACATTCCATTTCAAAGATCCCATGTCAATGATAATCTATGTTAAATTTCCTCCATTTTAAGGTTATCCTCACTTTCATGATCAAATCAATTGATTTCCACAGAAACCTTAAATGGGATTTTCACTGTACTATCAGAATCATCGGACAAGCAGCTGGTGGCCATTATGTATGAGTTCTGTGCTGCAACCCCGTACAACTGCACACCCAGTGACTATTTAAACCTTCACGTTTAACTGAACATTTACGGTACTACCGACATCAAAAGTGATATTCAATCAAGTTAATTAACACTTCAGAACAATGTTACTTACAAACCAGAATTACATTTAGCGTGCTCTGCCAATTATTTCATGTCATTCAACATGGAACTGAGCCCCACTTCACGCAGATGTTAGCAGTCATCACATCTCAACAAACCAATCACAAACACAACTAAAGTAATTTACCGTCTTTATTATAAACTTGTCATGCAAGTCACGACGTAGCGATAACCCAAGTCCTTGAGGTTTCCCTCCAAGTTTAGGAACCCAACAGTAATATTTGGTGCCCCCATTGTGCTGTTTCGGGGGTGTTACATATGAGATCTGAAAAACAGTAACTTTGGGTTACAAGGTAGCAACCGCATGCCACCGCTTCATCTTAATCCTTAATTAAAAACAAAATGAACATTTCTGCCTCTAATTTATGGATGATGCTCTATTAAATGCTAAATTCAAGCAGTCCTGAATGGCAGGATGATTATATTTGAAAATGGGATGGGGTGGTAGTGTTTGCACTTTAGCATAGGTCTACATGGAGTCTGGATGCCAGGTTGCCATTGAACCTACAAATCTATTGATGGCAAAAACAGTCTTCTTCCTATTACATTCCTGCTACTTACATAAGTCTTGAAGATTACTTACTCATGGAGCTGAGCCCTTCTGGAGGAGCTGCCAATTCTGCAGCTACTCAAGAATTTCCCAACATTTTATGGAACCCGAAGGTTCATCAGCGTGTTCACAAGAGCCCTCCACTGGTCCCTATCCTGAGCCAGATCTACCCAATCCATACCATCCCATCCTATCTCTCTAAGATCCGTTCTAATATTGTCCACCCACCTATGCCTTGGACTTCCCTGTGGTCTCTTTCTTTCTGGCTTTCCCACCAATATCCTATACACATTCCTAGTCTCCCAAATTCGTGCTACATGACCTGCCCACCTCATCCTCCTTGACTTGATCATTCTAATTTTGTATCACTGTTTCACATTAAAATATTTACCTTCATCTATCCCTTCCAAACCTTCCTCCACATTCTTTCCCTGTACCTTTTATTTGTGTATCCTACCATCATCATTTCTCTCCCCATGTCCCAGCAACAGCAGAAGGCAGTTTATGTTTTCCCCACATTCTTGAAACTCAAAAGGATGTATTCCATAATCTAGTAAATAAAGTTTCCAACAGAGAACTTTGCGATTTTCTTTGTTTATCAAATTTGACTAAAAGTTTAGGTATGCACAGAAAGATCTATTTATGGCTTTAAGCAAAGCTGATTTTAATAAGAGTAAATATGGCTGAAAAGTGGAACTATCCAACAACTTTTAGTGACAATCTCCCAACTTAAATTTTAAAAACATCTGTCCAAAAATTTAGGTCCTAATACTAGTTCACAGGCAGAGATAACCTCCAAAAAAGGCATTTTTTTTATGAACAATGTCTAAAAGGGAATTTTCTCATAAAATCTAATAACACAATTTAAACAATAATCATATCTCACAGTGAATCTGTCAATTTCATACTAAACAAAAGTATAAACCTGATTTGAACCAGTAATTATTATTATTCATGAATTATTCAATAATGTTCAAACAGTCACAAGGATTTTGCAGCATCTGTCAAAACAATAAAATAAATTCCCCCCTCAAGAATAAAATGTTACTACATGTATCACTTCAAACCAGTTTATCTATAATTCATTCTTAGTTGTGTGAATTGTTAAAACTTGGACAATTCAGAATTCTGATCTTGCAACGAGTGAGGACCAAACGTGATGAATTTCAAACTGCATCCAAACATAATTTCCTGCATTCTGTCACTCTTGTTTATAAATGGTAATACCGCTTCACTATCCGACAGGCAGAGCACGCTAAAATTCATACAATTATAACAGGAAAAATCCAATACCCATGTTGGGTTTGTCTTTTTTCCTGCAAATAAATATTAATCCTTTTAATAACAGTCTCTGACTTCAGACAACAGTTCTGTTCACTTTCCGTTTTGCTGAAACTCTTAACCTAACCACCGCCAACAAGATATCTCACACAATTAATCCTCTGGGCACTTCTCAAGACATTCTGAAGGAGGGACTAATGCCTGAGAAAAATACAGATGACCCCACTGAGGGCTCCAGTAGCCATAATATTTGGGTTTGGAAGCAGAGAGGAAGAGCAGGACAAGGAAGGAGGCAAAGGGAGCAACATTTGTTTTTAATTTCTAAAAATTAAGATTAACCTGCAAATGCAGTCACTACAAAACCTCCAGTTATAAACACTAGTATTTTTTTGCAAATTTGCAGTTATAAGTGGCAATAAGTTATAAAATGTCCGCACAGTATTATCTATTGTGTTCACTCCTTTTTGTTTAATTACATCGAAGACCATAAGACTTATGGGAAAACCATACATGGAATAAACTATATTTAATTTTTCCTTATGACTTTCATTTTAAACACTTTACATTCCGATGTATACATCTGGCATGTTACGTTCTAGATGCACACAGAAGTGAAAGCAGGTCTTCACATAAAGTGTCCATTATTTTAACTGAAACTAGGATGTCTACAAATGTCAGTATAACTGCCCATATTGAAGAAAACTGTATTCACAGAAAAATCCATATATATATGTATATAAACAAAACTCATAAAGCCTATTTTCCTACTGTGTAAATTTCTGGTCCAACAGATCTATTTCTCTGTTATTAATGTTATTTCATTTCTTGTGAATAACTTAAAGTACAGATTTTCTGTAATTTATATTTCTCAGCTATAACCTGAAAATTACACAATGTCACCATATTTATTAACTGTGAACGTATAAACAATGCTTCATACATAATGTTCATTCAGCAACTACACAGATTTATTTATGGTTTATTTTATGATGATGTCAGTAGCATTAGATGACAGAATCAGTAAACAACTGGAGAGGATGTGGAAGGAAGCAGTCATGGCATAATATGAGGCATTATCCTGAAATTTGCCTGAAAGAACTAAAGAAAACCACAACAAACCTCACTCATAATACCTGACTTCTGGGCTTGCCAAATACAAACAACTGTTACCCACTCAATTACAAAATTCAAAAACAAAATCCACAGGAAAACAGACAGAATCGTTGTGGGAATGAGATATTCCACTAATGTCCAATTCTGACATTCTGAAAAATGATGAACAACATAACGGAGACTGGCATGTTTCTTTATTAGCAACAACTGCTTCGAAACTTCCTAGTTCACACATACATATGTACATACAATGAAAAAGGCCAAATCCTAAACAATTTCAATTTTAGACAACATATTATGACTTCAGAAAAGAAGACATTTGAGAGATATTCAGCTGCCCTTTCCATGTTCTATGTGAATGTAATTTCTTACCTCATTGTCCAGCACTGTTGCAATTACTTCGACAAGCATCGTGCCAAAGTTGTATGTAGGAGACTCTGGGCTGCATGCTTCCACAAGCAAAGACGGCTGGATGTAATGCACCATTTTCTTTATTAGATTAAGACTTGCTTTCCTGGAAAATGTGACAGTAACACAAATAACATACACTATGAGTGCCCCAAACTTAAATATATTCACAGCACTAGTTAGGTCCAAAAGGTCAACATTAACATGAATTTTAATTAAATGTGTATTTACTTTAATGGCAGGGAGTAGTCATTCCATTCAATCCAGACCGTCTCTGGGCCAAGACTGAACCCAAGACCTCCTGAATAAGAAGCAGGAGTTATGCCCACTAAACCACATCATTCAGAGTGAAATTTTATGAATTTGAAGCTCTTAAAACCGAGGAATCAGTGTATACCCTTGCTGAGCAAGTACAGTTTGCAAACAACTAGGCATGAGTATAAACATATCACACAAATAAAATGGCTCTTTTCTTTTGGAATAGGTTATATTACCTGATGGATGCCAACATGGTAGACTGGAAAGTGTTACAGAAGACAGGAAGTAGGCGACGTAGATAAACAGGTGCCATCTCTGGATCTCCCTTGGGTTCTCCGCTATCATCTGACTCCACAGCATCAGTTTTCTTCTCCTTCTCAGCCGGTATCATCCACTCCCCTGCCACAACAAAGGACCACACTCTGACTCACTCATTAATTAAAAATCATATTGTGGTACTCAGTTCTGTATATGTCTGTGCTGCTTTTATCCCTTTAAAATGCATTATGGTTTCTATATGCATTGCCTGCATCAGCCTGCCAGGAAATGTGTTAATAAGGCATTCCCTTCATCCGGATTTAAAGTAAGGAGAAGTACATTTCTGAGACTGGATATCTTAGTCTACATCTTCATCCAAAAGGAAAGGGACATTCTGCAGGGGTCTGCTATATACACTAGTGCGTATCGCTTGGCCTAGTAAAGAGTCAGACAGACTTTGTCTCCATGTTTAAGGAGTACAGGGCACATGTATGGTACCTGGAGATTGAAGAATGGCTGCTACTTCACGGTGACCCTCGTCAATTCTTTCCCTTGCCTTGTCCAATGGAGTCTTCCCATCTTCGTCACGCAGATCCGGATTTGCACCATGACGAAGCAGCACTTTTGCGATTGCTGGGCGACCAAAACAAGCTGCATAGTGGAGTGACGATGAACGCTGTCCTATGGTGAATGAATTTGCAATTCCAATATACGAAAACAGTCATATATCCCCTGAGGTTTCAGTTCTCACAAAGATGACTATGAAGATTACCGTTCTCTGGGATGTGTTGCATAGTATTGTAGACTGTCACCAACTTTCAGAAAAATCTGCTGCCTCCTTCTTCAGGGTGAGGCAGCAGGTTCATCTCATAAAACTGGTAACCATCTACCAGACTACACAGCATCACATCCAAGAATATGGTAATCTTCATTCATGTATCCATTATATAACAGATATACATGAATAGCTGCAGGATAAATTACATATCTATTGCTTAAAAATCATGAAATTTGGAATGTAGCTGATAAAGGTGATACAACCCATCAATAATCCCCACAGCAAGTTTTACTGCCCTTTTATAAACAGGTAAAATAATGCATTCCAGTTGTGGCAATTCTACCTCATTCAAAAACTGAAAGGTTTGTAAATCTCAAAATGAAGTTTCACTCCATGCTTGGGATCAATTCCATTAATGGCTATTTATATTTTTTTCAAGGTTTCCAAAGCAATTTCAACCTTACAGACATTAGGGTCACTTATGCGGCTCAGCTGCAAACATTTCGGTCTACCCAATACAATCAGCGCATTATACATTTAAGAGCCAATAATTTTCAATCTATTCAAAACACTATGGAAATTCACAAGAAGATTACCAGTACATCTTTCACCAATTTACTTAAACGTTGGCAGTCCTTATAAAATTCTTTATAAGTCTCTAATATGTTTGTTCATATTGTTTACTTCATGCTCATTAATTCTGCATTTTGGATGTTTCCTTCTTAATGCTCATGAACGCACTTTAGCTTTGTCTCTTACATTGTACAGATTATCCCCATTCCTGGACTTGGACTCTGCTGGAATTTACGAGGAGGGCAGGGTGTAGGATGAGAATATTTTCCAAATATCTGGCCGCTCAATTAAAGGGTCCTAACGCATGTCTGTTCAGTCCCCATGCTGGTACCAACACTAACATGAAATTACAAACTGTAAAGGTGTGGAGGCATTCTATGGTTTATCACAGCACAATTAATGGAAATCCATCAAATGGTTAACAAATCATCCAGTGCCTGAGGTTGTATGCTCTAACATTACATCATTTGCAGAAGCTACTAGGCATTAAATGATGTATCATTATGCAGAGTGGAATGAAAATAATATATCAGGAAGTGACAGTGTAGGTTCAAAATAATCATCATGACAGCTGCTTGGAGGGACTGAGGAAATCCACACACACAAGCTGCAATGAGGACAGCTGGGTCCTAACAGAGACCAAGCATCGCCTGAACACCACGCTGCACACATCGAAGAACATGATCTCCCAGGTTGTAACACTGTGTACTTCGGTAGAAACTCGCTGATGTCTGGGCGTTCATACTGCCTCCATACTCTGGGATGACGTATAAGATAAACAAGAAGGAAGCGGCAAAGCTTGCAATCCTCTGAAATGTCTGCGACTTTCTACTGAACTACATGATTCTACAACTCAAGAGAACTGTATTCTTCACAGTCATGGCTGTGACAACCTTGAAGCAACATTATAGACTACATTCAGTTCGATAAACATCAGATACAGACAAATATGTGTGCACACACTTGGACCTCAAGCAAGGCAAATGGCTACCACCATACAATAAACACACCTCCCCTTATAAAATAAGGAAAGCCGAGCAGAATGTGTCAGAGTTCGAACACCCACATACAAGTAAGATCTAAAAGTTTGTGACGATTGTATATTGCTACAAGTATTATGTTTTTGGACATTATCCATCGTCTTGTCTACTTTCTAAAAACCGTTCTGTATCTTTTTTGAAAACACAACATTTCAGAAACTGGATTCTCTTCCCATCCTCAGTTAAAACCTACTCAGTAGGGTCCAACAGATAGAGCTAGCCCCTTTCTCCAGATAGTTCCATCTATTGGACCCTACTGAGTAGGTTTTACCTGAGAACAGGGACAGAATTGTCTCCGAAATGTTGTGTTTTCAAAAAGAAACAGGACAGTTTTAGAAAATAGACAAGACGATGGATAATGTCCAAAAACATAATACTCGTACCCACATAGAAGGTTTCGCAATAGCATATCAACACAACTATCAACTGAGAGGCATTACTATGCGTATCCCTAAACAAGACTGTGCTCATTTTGGAAAACTCCAAATAAAAAAAAAATGTGGCAGAGAACAAATTTCCATGGATGCAATTAAAAACATCCTGTTTTCCAAATGAAAGGAAACATAAAAAGTTGCGAAGATGAGACAAGCCCACGAGTGCCGGTGTGTCGGGATAGCTGGCTTACCCTTGTTCAGCACCTCTATCGCACAGAAACTCGACCATCTCCTGAGTTCCAAATGCAGACGCCCAGTTCAGTAGTGTCTGGCCTACATCATCCATGAAATTTACTTCAATCCCTTTAAAAGAATAAAAAAATAAAGTCACTAAGTCAACGTAACATGTAAAATATACAATGCATTTGAGAAACAGCTTAATTAAAGAAAATCTATTGTACGGCATACATCTCGTATGGTTGGCTCAGTAACCAGAGGCAGAGTTTATGCACTGCAACCCTCAATAAATGCCTGTGTGATATGTAACGAAAATCCATCAGGCATTAATGATGTTGCCTTTTCAATCAGTATCCTTCCAGCCGCACTATGCCCTGGGGTTTACTCAGCCTCTAACAGAAATGAGTACCAGGAATTAATTAAATAATCTTCCTGGGAGTAAAGTGCGGCAGGCGCATAAGGCTGACACCCTTACCGCTATCTTTGAGCCGACTGTCTAGATAATGTGGGACCCTCAACGTCTCACAACCCTATGGGCCTTCACGGCCTGGTACAGGGAAAGCTTTACCTTTTTTTTTTATCTTCTTACAGAGCAGTCAATGCTGCCTTAACCCTTCCAGACCACAGACAGACAACTCTGCAAGTCATGACACTGCAGGAGGGGGGAGCAGATGGGATGATGATGATGATGATGACGGAGGAAGGCAATGTTAAAATCAATACAAGGAAGAGACATAGGGATATGAGAGACAGGGAAGTGCAGGAGAACAGATATAGTAGTAGCAACAGAAAATTAAAATAAATATAATGTAGGAGAAAGAAGAACAAAGAGGAGAAATACAAGAACATGAACAAGAGAGATTGAGAGAACAAGAAAAAGGTCGAGACAAAGTAGAATTTAAAATAACCTTGGTGTGAAAGGGTTGAATAACAAATGTAAAAAGCAAGAGAAAGAAATTAAGGAAAAGAATGAAGAGGAAGAAAGAAAAGAAAAGTATATAATTTGTTTAAAGTACTTCTTGTAATACTGAGCGCACCTCCACTGTCTATAGCCTCCACCAGAGCATCGGTATCTTTGCTGCGAATGCAATCAATAAGCTGTCGGTGTGACTTCTCTCCGGCACTCTCCATACGACGGAATCTTGGTATCAACTGACCTGCTCCTACACAGCCCATACCGGTGCGTGACAGAGCTTTACGACCTTCAAACAACAGCACTAGAAGGAGATCTACCAACCGCATTGAGTCTAGAGAACACCTGTCACAAACATACAAAAACAAAATAACAATTTGTACACTAACTGCCTTGTGGGATGTAATGCCTGTTAAGCACAAACACATAAAAGTTTACTGTATGGGAACAGATTCTTACAGTTCCTGCTCCTGCAGGCCTGGCAGCAATAATTCAACTTGAGGGTAACAATATCATGACTACATTTAGCCCGACGGAGCATACTGGTGTACCTGCCATCACAGATGAAAAGCACAGCCAACGAACATTAAACAAAATATGAAGTGGGCCCCATCTGATTTTCTCATACCTAGCTGCAGACACAGGAGATGGCAATAGCACACATGAATATTAGGAACCAAAAGTTCTGAATTTCCATCAGAATCTTGATCTGTATTCTATATTCATTTTCTTAAAGCTCATACTTTCTCTACACTTAAATTGAGAAATTAAGAAATTAATAATATATGTATATCCCTGCAGGCTGGACTATTTGTTATGGTTACAAGCAACTCATGAGCCACAGTTTGCACACTCCTGTTCAATAACAGAGAGGCCATACCACAGCTCAGGGAGTTAGTAGCCAGCACAGTTCACATGGGATTTGTGGTGGACAAAGTGGGGTGGGGCACATCTGCTCCAAGTACTTTGGCTTCCCCTGTAATTCCAACACAAGCTCCACTTCCCCCCTTTATCACTGGGGGCAGGTACAACAGACCGCTTACATCCTACATACCATGAGACTCAGTCCCACCCTACCCTAAGAATTAAAATCCCAAAGAAGTTTCATTTGTCCAAAATTACAGGTATAACCATGAGACATATGACACAATGGTTATTAATTTATATTTTAAAACAAATACAAAACAAAACTTTAATATACAGAACTATAAGTTTGCCTGTGGTTGTGTATGGATGTGAAAGTTGGTCTCTGACATTAAGGGAGGAACATAGACTGAGGGTGTTTGAGAACAGGGTGTTGAGGAGAATATTCGGACTAAAGAGAGATGAAGTGACAGGAGGTTGGAGAGAACTGCATAATGAGGAGCTTCATAACTTGTACGCTTCGCCAAGTATAATTAGAGTGATCAAGACAAGGAGGACAAGGGGGGAGGGCATGTAGCACGAATGGGGGAGAAGATGAATGCATATAGGATATTGGTGGGAAAGCCAGAAGGAAAGAGACCACTGGTAAGACCAAGGCGTAGGTGGATGGACAATATAAAATGGATCTTAGATGAATAGGATAGGATGGTATGGATTTGGTTGATCTGGCTCAGGATAGGGACAGGTGGAGGGCTCTTGTGAGCAGAGTAATGAACCTTCTGGTTCCATAAAACGCTGGGAAGTTCTTGAGTAACTGCACAATTGGCAATTTCTCAAGAAGGGCTCATCTCAGTCAGTGAGTGGGGGAATATACTTACTTACCTTTCATCCCCTTTCAGAGCCTTCTCTATAGCATCTGGCAGTTCTGACCGCAAGAGATCCTGCAACAAGGACAGGAACGTGAATATTCACTGAACAGTAACCCAGTCCGCATGCTTGTATGACTTCAGTTCCACTACTTACATGGGTGATACTTGGAGAACCTCGACACAAGGTTGATAACAAACTGATTATTGTGGATACTGAAGCCGAAGATTTTGTTTCGGGTGTTGTGGTGGTGGTATTGACACCGGGTGTCCCTAAGTAAACAAAGTCACTTTTAGTGCTGTACAAGAATGTGAACAAGAATGTACATAACAAAAAACAGGTGCAGGATCGCATGGGTCCTCAGGGTGACATATTCCAGACTTTCGGCAGGTAAAACGAAGTGACTCCTGGGATATGCAGAGTAGAATGTAAGAGGAGCTTCAATAGCTCAGTCAGTATAGCAATTAGGCTACAGGTTGGATGACCAGGGTTCAATTCCTGGCACGGGCAAATGATTTCTCTCTTCTCCATAGGATTCAGACTGGCTCTGGGGCCAGACAGCCTCCTATCCAATGGGTACCAGGGCTCTTTCCCCAGGAGGTAAAGTGGCAGGGGCATGAAGCTCAACAATCACCTCCATCCAGTGCCTTCATGGCACAGATCTTAACTACATAATTAAGTAGAGCGATAATTTTTTATCTTCTTACCATGATAAAGATATTTGACAAAGACATTTAAAAAGCTGAAAAGTCAGTGTGCTAGAATTTAGGTTCTCACAGGGGTGACCAAAATGAGTAGTGTCTTCTGATATGTGACACTGTGTAGGATTGGTAAACATTCACCGATGTTTCAGAGGTATGTCAGAGAGCTTGTAACAGACTACAGAGTATCACATCCAAGAAGACATGAATCTCCATGAAACAATTCTGTCTGTAACAAACACAACATACTAACTATTGCCTGTTATCTGGAAGGGTGATGATCATGATGCTACAGTACAATTTAAAACTCACCTGGTCCAGCACAAGTCGATGTGGCTGGACCTGCGGCATTTGAGAGCCTGGTGAGAAGTTCTGATACCAGTCCGTGATCTGCTAAGGGTGCTGGATCCACACCCCTTCTCGTGAAACGGT